TTTCCCCCTGTTCAGCATGGAAGAAGCCAGAGCAGTCTGTGCCCCGATTCCCTATTGGCAATTTGGGTAACCTCTTCAGGGAATGCTGTGATAAAAAATAGGAGGTAGGAATTGGCTAGGTAGTTAGGGTTAAAAAGACCCCAAAGAAAAGTAACCAGTTTCTTGACTAAAAATCAAAATGTTCTTGGGCCTGTTAGCAACATAGTCTGTTCCAAAGGCCAAAACTGTCAAAAGTATTTCAGAGCTTGTATCTAATCCTTAAAAGATTTTAGGGTTACCTCGACAGAAGGGAGAATGTTGGGGGGGAGAGTGGGCATGGATTTGATCAAAACACCTTCTATGCATGTATGAAATTCTCAATTAAGTTTTGTAAAAATTTAAAAACAAAAGGAACAAGTCATTCTTAAAATGTGGACACGTGACAGGAAGTAACGTCAGCAGGAGGACGTGAGGTCAGCAGGAGGACTTGATGTCAGCATCCAAGGGAAGGGGAGATGGTCCTTCCACAGGCAGAGCGCCTGCTTTTCCTGTGGTCTTTGCCTTGAGTGTCTTTGTCCTTCATCGCAGTCTGAACTCATGGTCTTCTAGGGGTGGGAGAGGGTCCCCTCAGGGTGGGCCCTGTCACCAGCATGACAAAGCCCCAGAGGGAGTTTTCTCTATGTCCTGTGTGTCAAGAACAGCTTCTTCCTGGGCTACGCTTTGCTCTGGGAAATACTCTTCTTTGGTGGATGGAATCTGCCTCTATATCTCAATTCCACCCCTTTCCCCATCCCCCACATCCTCTAAATGCCCGGCCACCCTTGCTCCTGAGCACAATGTCTTCCAGTCCTGGGTCCCCTCGGAGCCTGCCAGCATCTCTGCGTCTCTCTCGGAGGTCTGGGCCACACCTCATGCACGTCCTGCTCGTGCACTTCTGAAAGGCTGCATAGAAAGGAAACAGCCAAAAGTAAGCACAATCCCAAATGTCCAGGAGAGCAGTGTACACTAGAAACTTATAGTATGTTCTTGCTTGCCTTGCAAACACACACGTACACCTGCTGAGCCCTAAATTTCTCTTTAGTTATCATTTTAAAAAGTTATTTTATGGCCAGGCGTGGTGGCCTATGCCTTTAATCCCAGCACTCAGGAGGCAGAGGCCAACCTGGTCTAAATAGTGAGATCCAGGCCAGCCTGGTCTACATAGTGACTTCCAGGCCAGCTGGGGCTGCAGGGAGTCCCAGTCTCAAAAAGACTATATATAAAATTTTATGTGTATGTGTTTTATGTCTTGACTGCATGTATGGAAGTGCACCTATGTGGTGCAATGGCCAAGGTCAGAAGATGGTTGTTGGCCACCTTGTGGGAATCAAACCAGGGTCTTCTGCAAGAGCAGCCAGTGCTCTTAACTGCTGAACCATCTCTCCAGCCCCTTAGTTATCATTTCAAGTGAATGATATGGCGATATAATAATATGCTTGGGCTCCGCCCCTAGTTCCTGACACGTGACTCCCTGAGCTGTCAGAACCTCTAAAGTGATGTCTTTTTGGATGCTCCTGAGATGACTGGCAGCTCCTGGACACAAGGGCCAGGAGAATGACTCTGTGAATAGAGGTTGCTCCTGTCAGCCTCCCCTCCAATCCCTGGGCCCAGCAAGGGCTGGTCGCCAGTGGCCAGCAGTACAGTCAGTCATGTCTGGTGGAAACCCAGAAGGACAGCTGTATAGAGTGTCCAGTGGGCTGAGTGCAAGGCGGTGCCGTGTAGGCGGGGAAGCTCCGCCCCATCCTGTGCATCGTTCCCACCTGGCCGTTCATCTGTATCCTTGTGATTGGTACTGCTCTCTGGCTGCCCCAGCAAGCCAGGCTCAGGCACTCGTCCTCCAGAGTCAATGAAAAGAGCCGAGATAGTATTGAAGAGCAGAAAAAGGAGAAGTATTCAACGTAGCCACAGAGGGGAGAGGGACAAGACGTTTGCTGCCCCCGCCCCGCCCCTGTCCGGCTTCAGCGCTAACATGAGGCTTAGGTTTAAATAGAAGGCAAGGAGCGATGTAGTCAGTGCAGCACATTGGGAAAGGGGACAGAAAGGCCAGTGTCCCCTCCTCAGCCCTGTCCATTTTCAGGGTGCTAAATAAGACTTCAGTTGAAACAGAAGGCAAGGGCATGCACAGCTAAGCAGTCCTGGTCCAGAGGTGTTCATGCCCATCACCAACCCAATGTTTGAGGTCCATACTCCTGCATGGTGGTCTGGCAAGTTGCAAATCTTTCTGGGAGAAAAGTTAACCCTCCCTCTGGCCCAGGCTTTAGTCTTTTTTCCTTTTTCCAGCATGAGATTCCTAGGAAAATTCTGATTTCCCAGAATCTGTTGTTCCCACAGTTAAAGGCAGAAGGATAAGTATGTCTTCAGTTTGTCCTGTGAGGCAGGCCAGCTGTACAATGTTCTGTATAACAATAGGGTAAATACAAGAAAGTGTTTCTCTGGGTGCTGAGAGCCACTTAAGCAGATGAACTAACCTGGAAAGAGGGTTGCAGGAGCCCCAGCTTATAACTCATCATCCAAACACTGGTCAGAAACTGGTTAGAGAGGTGCACCTTGAGTCGGGGATCTATGGGATGGAGCCCTCAACGTGTAGGGCCTGACACTACCACCAGGTAGACCAGTGTCAAAAGTGCCTTGAGGACTGGAGAGATGGCTTAGCGGTTTAGAGTGGTGACTGCTCTTGCAGAGGATCTGGGTTCAGTTTCCAGCACCCACATGGTGGTGGGGTAACAACCATCTGTAACTCAAGTTCCAGAGGATCCAACTGCCTCCTCGGGTATTGCATGACACGCGAGTGCTTACACACATTCAGGCAATGCACCCATACATCGAAAATTAAAAATAAATAAATAAAATATATTTTTTAAAATACTGACTTGAATTACAGAACAGCCAGGTGTTGTCCACTAGACAACTGCTTGCTGCGGGGGACAGAGTGTTGTGTGTTGTTGGGGGGGGCAGAAGTTGGTTCCTTTCTCTGACAAGGCTTTGGACCAGCAGATGTGGTGGGTTTTTAAATATCCTGATGCTGTAGTGAGACTCTAAGTGGGATTGATGTGGCTAACGCACAGCTCGGGAGCAGTGACGTGTTCTGCGACACCTCATGCCCTGTTCCACCTGTGTTCCAGGTACCGGGCCTTCATTTTCATGCTTACGTTCCTGCTGTACGCAAGCTTCCACCTGTCTAGGAAGCCCATCAGCATAGTGAAGGTAAGAGACCACAGAGCACCCACTTTACAGCGATCTGTGCTCTCCACAAAGACGGGCCACTCTGGGAAGCTGCGGGCAGGTGGTGGGGTGGGTGGAAGGGCCAGTGCCAAGAAGAGATTGCTAGAGACAAGTTATTTTACTGGTTTAGTGTGTGTGTGTTGGGGGTGTGTGTGTTGGGGGTGGTGTTTGTTTAGTTTTCTTTTTCGGAAACTCAAATCTTTTAAAATGTTTCAGGCTCTGTTCTCTTAGTGGTGGTGCGTTTCCACAAGTCCACAGTTCCATAATTAAGCTTAGTTAAATATTTATGCTGTGTGAATTCTCTTTCCTCCTGTATCCAGTCTTAAATGGTTCCTCAACTTGCTCTGGCTCTAGGTGCAGTTTGACCCAGTGCCCCTGTAGTTCAGCCAGAATGTGGCTCAGGCGGGTAAGGCGCTGGGAAGATGTGTCCCACTGGACTCCAGGTCCTCTGTAATAGCCTCAGATCCAGGAAGGAAGGGGAGACAGTTGGCTCCTCACCTAACCTCACCTATGGACTGGTGGCAGGTACGAGTGGTTCTGGACTATTGGAGAAGGACCAGGGGTGCTGTCCTGGGCCAAGACCAGCCTATTTATGGCTTCATTTCCCTGTCACCTTCCAGCAGTTGGCTGGGACCTGGTCCAGGACTGTGGTGCTGTGACCTTCCCGGCTGAGCATAGCCGGCTGCCCTCCAAGGGCTCCCAACAGGGGAGGCAATGTGGGGCAGCGGCCTCTGGTGGGCCTTACGCCTACTTCTCCAGCCCTTCCCGATGGACGCCTAGCAGTCACTTACTCCGAAGGTTCTAAAACTTCCCCTTAGCCTGGTGTAGCCAGGAGCTTCTGCTTCCTGGGCCTTTGAAGTGCTGCTTGTGGAGACACCTGGAGACCTTGAAAGGAAGAGAGAGCTGGGGATGGGATGGGAAAGTGAGCAGAAGCCTTAGTAAACTCACACAGGGGACAGAGGCCCTGATGTCACTGCCAGTGACCAGCCCTAGAAATGTAACTGGCCTTAGTAAACTCACACAGGGGACAGGGGGCCCTGATGTTGCGGCCAGTGACCAGCCCTGGAAATGTGAATGCTTGCCCTGTGTGTCTTCCTGGGAAATTCACACATTGCCAGAGAATGGCAAACCACAGAACTTAAATGACTGATCAGCCCTGCAGGGGCCATGAGTTCCGAGAACCTGGGGCACAGGAAAGGCGGGGCCTGAGTGGTAGGGACGGACTGCCTCCGGTATCAGAGGTGGGGGCCTTGCTGCAAAGTTGCCACTTGTGGGACAGATGTGGTGAGGTGGGGCTGGCCACTGGAGGGTCTCTGGGGACGGACCTGGCCCTTGGACTTTTCCTAATAACTGTGAGGGTCCAGGGCTTGCCAGAGAAGGATGTGAGCACGGTTCACAGTGGCACCTTCTTGTCTCAGGTGTACAGAAGTGACCCCCTGGGGTTCAGGCTGATGTCAGTATTCTGTAAGTATGTTTACAGGCATTAACAGCATTCTCACAGCAGTGCTGGCAGTGTCCTGGGGGGAGGGGGATCAAGAGACATGGCTCCCTGAGCTTGGAGTTCACACAGGTCCTCTGGCTCCAGCGCCTCAGTTCTGAACCATTCTACCCCAGAGTCAACCAGGGCAGTTAACTACTTGGGTATGGTCAGCATCCCATCGGGTTTTCTTTAACACCCAGAATTTCAGTGTACTGTGTATGGACTGAATGCTGCAGGCTGCCTTGTCTTTTTATATAGACAAAAGCATCTTTACAGTGCACGTGCTCCTGTTGTGAAAAACACAGACGGCATTAGAAGCAGTGACAGTTCCATCAGGGACTGTGAGTCACCACCTACATCCTAGAACGTTGTAAACAAAACAAGCCAACTACATTTGATTTCTTGACACTGATCCCAGGGCTGAGAATACGCATTTAGTTTAGGAAGATTGTGACTCATTTATAGAGTGAAGTTATTCTGTGAGGTCAGGTTACACTTTGCCTTGGATCACCTCTGATTAATTTTATTTTTCTTTGATTAAAAAAAAATGGGGCTGGAGAGATGGCTCGGCGGTTAAGAACACTGGTTGTTCTTGCAGAAGACCCGGGTTTGAATTCCAGCACCCACATGGCAGCTAACAGCTGTCTGTAATTTCAGCCCCAGGGGATCCGACAGCCTCTCCTGACCTCCTCAGGCATTGCACGAGACGGGTGCACTTACCTACATGCAGGCAATACACATATACACATAAAATAAAAATAATAAATAAAATTTTTTTTTAAATGTCTCTTGGATCTGGAGAGATGACTCAGTGGTTAAGAGCACTGACAGGTCTTGCAGAGGACCTGGGTTTGGTTCCCAGCACCCACACCAGCTGACTCACAACCACTGTAACTCCATCTCCAATGGATTCAGTGTCCTCTTCTGGCCTCTGACACATGTATACTTTTTAAAATACTTCATTATTTTTATGAGCGTATTGTCTGTATGTGTGTAAGTGCACCCGTGTCGTGCAATGCCCAGGGAGGTCAGAAGAGGGCGTTGGATCCCCTGGAACTGGAGTTACAGGCAGTTGTCAGCCACCATGTGGGTGCTGGGAATTGAACCTGGATCTTCTGCAAGAGCAGCCAGTGCTCTTAACTGCTGAGCCATCTCTCCAGTCCCGACACATATATAATTTTAAAATAATGAAAATAAATCTTTAAAAAATTTTTTATTATTTTTTTTTATGTGTATGAATGTATTGCCTGTATGTGTATAAGTGCACCCGTGTTGTACAATGCCCGCAGAGGTCACAAGAAGGTGTCAGATCTCCTGGAACTGGAGTCACGAATGGTTGTTAGCTGCCATGTAGGTGCTGGGGATCGAACCCGGGTCCTCTGCAAGAGCAGTCAGTGCTCTTAACCACTAAGCCATCTCTCCAGCCCCCAAAATAAATCTTTTTAAAAGTTTATTTCTAAAATATAATAAAACCGTGAGGGGACGCCCTGCTATCATGATGCTCTGTTTTTTCATAGAACCTAGACCCCGCAGACCAAGCCCTCAGAAACTGTTTGAACCATGACAAATCCTTCTAAGTTTTTTACTCAGGTAGTTAGTCTCACACACCCAGGGTAAGCACCCATACTTAGAGCTAAACATCTTTTCACTGAAAGCCAGGCTGGCCTTGAAGTCCCAGCAAGCCTGGCCTTCTGAATGCTGGGATTACTGCATGCACCACCACACCCAGATAGTATAAACTGGGTTTTTTTTGTTTTTTTGTTTTTTTTTTGGTCTTTTGAAGCAGGATTTTCCTGTAGCCCCAGATGTCCTGGAACTCTCTATGTAAACCAGGCTGGCCTTGAACTCACAGAGATCCGCCTGCCTCTGCCTCCCAAGTGCTGGGACTATAGGCGTGCACCACCACTCTTGCCCAGTGGTATAAACATCTTTATTGCAGTATTGTTTATACTGACCCAGAGGAGGCAGGGGAATATTGGATATTGTATAAACCTAATCAGTAGGTGCAAGTTTCAATATATTATGGCAGATTCATGAAATAAACAACTGCCTACAGGAGTAATTAAAGCCAAGCCAGTGATGCAGATTGCTAGGGGCGTTTTGAGTAAAAAGTGGGGGCACCAGAACCAGGGCCCTTAGGCTTCTGGCTCTGGGATCTAAAGAGTGGTTCATTTTGAAAAGGAAGCAGTGGCCCAAAGTGTCCCCATGTCTTTCTGTAGACCTCAGTGTGTGGCGTACAGGTACCGTGCTGGACTCACTGTCCCGATAAACCCATCCTAAGTTGAAAGTACCAAAAACAGACTTAAGTCCCTAAGTCCACCAACCGTGGCTCCCTGCAGCACAGCACACAGCTGAGGCCTGGCTGTTTCCTCTCATCCCCTGCTGTGGGGGAGCAAGCCACAGGGCACCAACAGGGTGAGAACTGGGTGAACGAGTGAGTGACTGGAGTGACTGTTCAGTGTGACACCAAGTCTAGATTAAAGAATAGGGTCTTAGGGGCTGGAGATGGCTCAGCGGGTTAAAAGCACTGACTGCTCTTGCAGAGGACTCAGGTTTGATTCCCATCACCCACATGGCAGCTACAAACCATCCTTAACTCCAGTTCCAGGGGAATCTGAAGCCCTCTTCTGACCTCCTTGGGCATTGCACGACACAGGTGCACTTACATCCATGCAGGCAATACACTCATACACATAAAAATAAAAAAATTAATTAAAAAAAAGAATAGAGTCTTGGAGCTGGGCATGGTGGCACACACCTTTGATCCCAGCACTCTGGAGGCAGAGGCAGGCAGAGCTCTGTAAGACTGAGGTCAGCCTAGTCTACATGGCAAGTTCTAAGCCAACTGGGCTACAGGAGACCCTGTCTCAAAAGACAAAAAAAAAGAGTAGAGTCTTAGGAGCCCTTGCTGAACAGTCATTAATGTGCAACATTCACTCCTGACTGAGGATGACCAATCTTGTTGGAAGAGGCAGCTGCCTGCCAGGGAAGAATCACCGTGTTCTCCAGGCTGAGGGAGGAGAGTGCCAGGGCGCAGGGATCCAGGAATCCATACACTCAGCTCACAAGCCTCTTTGCTCATAGCCCATGTTCCCCAGTGCCCCCCCCCCAACTGCCTTTTGCTGGTTTAGGGCCTTTGTGTCACTGTTCCGTGTCCACTACACAAACATTTTTCAAAACTGGTGATAGTGTACTTCTAGCTACCCACTGCTTCTCTCTGCCTCAGCATGGACCATCTGCCTGCCACTATCTTGTTCTTTTTTAACTTTCTTATTGCATCTATTTATATGTGGGGAGGGCACATTAGGAGGTCAGAGGATTCTTCCGTCCACTGTGTGGATCCCAGGGATTGAACTCGGGTACTCAGACTTTTTGGCAAGCACCCTTACTCGCTGAGCCATTTAATTGGCCCTGCTAGTCTTTTGACTGATTGTGTGTGTGTGTGTGTGTGTGTGTGTGTGTGTGTGTGTGTGTGTGCGAGAGAGAGAGAGAGAGAGAGAGAAAGAGAGAGAGAGAGGAGCCTGGAGTGTGCATCTATGTGGAGGCCAGAGAACAACCTAAGGTGTCATTCCTCAGCCCTGTCCACCTTTTTTGGGAGACAGAGTCTCTCACTGGCCTGGAATGCACCAAATAGCCTAGCCTGGCTGGCCAACAGTCTTCAAGGATCTACCTGTCTCCACCTCCCCAGAGCAGGAATTATAAGCACACAATACCACACCTGTTTTTTTGTTTTGTTTTGTTTTGTTTTTTAACATGTCTGGGAATCAAACTCAAGATCTCTTGATTGCAAGGCAAGCACTTTACTGGCGTGCCTTTCTCCAGCCCTGCTTCATTCTTATTAACCAACTGATGTGACAGGGTGACTGACTTTATGTGTCACTTGTTAAAAGACACTCACTCATAAAAGTTTGCAGAGGAAACCGCCTTTATAGAAACTGTTTCCTGCTGGACATGTTCCCCTCCTCCAGATGCAGCCTGTGGGAGCCTTATATGTTTCACTGCAGCCCAAGGTAAGAATTTGTTCGCCTTGGTTTAATTATGCTTTGTTCCCAAACGCCAGGTTTTCAGGACAAAGGTCATTGAGATACTGAAATAACAATAGCATTGAAAACTAACGCTCTTATTGAAATACCCTGAGTGTCTCATGCATGTTAACTGTCTCATGGCTTTGGAGGCAGACTTCCAACAGGGCTGCGGGAGGCAGAGGTGACATTTCCAACATTAAAGAAAGACTGGGGCAGGGCTCGAGAAGATCGTCCCATGAGATTGGATGTTAAATGCAGGAGCCATGCCCAGCACCCTGGAGTCCGCTCTCAGGCACTGGTCCCCGTGGAGGGCTCGGACCTGGGAGGTGCTCTCTGTGGGAAGTCCACCCGTCAGTGACCCTGGGACCCTGTCATTATCATGTTGACTTCAGAGCTGATAGCCAGGGAGTGTGACTGAGGTCAGTCAGAAGCAGGCACAGTAGTCGCAGGTCCCAGCCTAGGCCAGTCTGTGGCCTGAGCCTGTGACCCTGACCTAGCAGGGTGCTGGTATCTGCTCACCAGGGGCAGAGCCTGAAAACCTGCTCTGCGGACTACGGGAGAACCAGCATCAATCCCCATCTGCTCTGTTTTCATGCCCCACTGCTCCCAGACACGTTAAAGACGAGGATGTACAAATTCTGTTTCTAGTGTGGCCTGCAGAGTCCATTCCCCTTGCAAGGCTAATGTTAGAAATTTGCTTAGTGCATAGGTTTTAAGTGTCTGATTTGAATAGTCTTTGCCTGTAGAGACTTCCTTCTGGGTCTGTGGTCCTTTCCCATCCTGCCTCTCTGCCCTTAGTGAACAGTAATAGAGAAGCTGGTTGACTGTGGCCAGGTTGCCTCCTTGAGAAAGGAGGGCCAGGGAAGGTAGAAACGCTTGACTTCTGAGGTAGCGAGAAAATTATGAAGTCCAGTGGTGGGGATGGAATGCTCTGGGATACAGGTGCACTGCCTGGGCCTCACCTGATCTCATGTATGAAATAGCCCTGGCAGAGGCGGCCAGGAGCCTGAGGGGGAAGGGCCAGGCAACCTCACTCTATTAAAGCAGGCAGAAGAGGCCAGAACCTGTGGCCTCCAGGGTGCACGGATGCCGCTCAGGAAAGCTGCGGGGAGATAATCACTTCCGTTTGTAAAGTGGAGCTTTGGCAAGCCTTTAGGGTGATGTTTATACCATAGTAGAACAGCTCAGAGACAAAGACAAAACCAGTGATGAAAAACACCTGTGTCATGTGTCCAGCAATCTGGTGTCCAGCCAGGCTGGCCAAGGCAGCCTCTCGGAGATGGCCTGCCCTTAGGCTTCCCCCTAACGGAAGTAGACAATACTCTTGCCTGGTGACAAGGTGGCTCCTTGGTCACATCATCCTCCAGGCCCCTGTCCTCTCAGGGCCCAGCTCAGTAACACATCTCTTGGACAATGGAAGGGCACCCCGTCCCCTGAGGACATCTCCCTGACCAGAGGACCCTCCTTGCTACCTCACCCATACCTGACATGTTGCTTTATCTGAGCCTCGTGCAACACACAGCTTTATATGGAACAGTAGTGGGTGAGGACACGGATGTGACAGAGTTAGTTACCTGTTCCTCAGGTTCTCCATAAGATAGACCCAGCCTGCTTCTGCTGGAAGTGCAGCTTCCACAGGTGGCTCTGTCCCAAGCACTCTGCTGATGCTCAGGACTTGGTGCCAGGGTCCGCATCTGTAAGTAAGCGGCAGCCACATTTGTAGATGGAGAGAGTGAGGCAGGGACACTTCCTCTCAGCAGTCAGCCATCAAGCCTTTCCACTGTGCCATTTCCTCCCGGTCCCCAGCCCCAGTGAAGCAGTTCTTGTCCTACTGTACAGCTTGCTGGTCCCGATGAGGTGGGCTGGTGTCCGCTTACCCTGCTTAGTGTGTTTTAATTGGAGTATGATTTGTGTATAGTAAAGTGCACGAATCCCATGTGTCTGGTTTGACCAATCTTTGTACACCTGAGTACTCAGCACCCAGGGTAAGGCGGGGCATCCCAGCCCCCAGCAGGCTGCCTGTGCTGCACTCCACTGTCCCCTCCTCTACGTAGCCACGAGACTCACCCTGGCACCATGGTTCCCTTGCCGTGCTTGAGCTTGGTGGAGACGGAACCACACAGTGCTCTTTTGGGTCCGGCTTCATTTCCAGGGTGCCATGTTTTGAGACTCAGCCCCGTCGTGGCAAGGCCTAAAACTTGTTCTCTTTCATGGTTGTGCGGAAGTGGTTGTCTGTGTGTGACAGTTGACCCCATCCCTCCCCAGGGGCAGGGGTCACTAGCCTGCACTTGGCTCTCAGATTGGCACTCTCTCACGCCACCAGTTAGGTTTTCTGGAGGCCGGGCGATGAGTGTACACAGGACGAAGTTGCTCTTGGAGCCTCACGTCACCAGCCAGTGCTCCTCTGGGCCCTGCAGACCCTCCCCAGGGAGCTATTTCTGCTCAGAAAGCCTTTGCTCTTTGAGGAAAGCAGCCGCTCTCCCGGCCAAGCCTCCTCCTGTACATCCTTTTCTCTCCTGTCTTTCCTGTCGGCCCTAGGGTGAACTCCACAAGCAGTGTGCCGCTGGGGATGAGCCTGAGCCCAGATTCAGTGACCCAAGCAGCAGTACCAAGAATAGGATCCCCCACCAGCTCCAGGACAATGAGACAGAGATCGACTGTGGCTGGGCCCCCTTCGGTGAGTTTGGGTTAGCCCACTCCTCCAGGGATCTTGGAAACCATCAGGGCTCTCGGCCTAGCTGGTCAGGCCTGCAGCCCTGAAGTGTAAGCATGTTTCCATGACAACTTTCTCCTAACAAACAGCCTCATTACTCAGCAGCCAGCAGATCTGGGTGCCTGGGTGCAGAGGGGCCACCACCTAAGTGCTCTGATTGTGTCAATGCTTGAGAAGTCTGTGGGAGGCCGTCTGCAGCAGGTGCCTGTCAGACCTGGAGGGTGGGGCTTGCAGGGTGACAATCTGTGGGCCCACTGAGCGGTGCTGCAGGACAGCCAGGGCGACCCTGGAACACGAAGTCAGACCCCACCCATCGCCAACAGTGTGGTCTGCGTCTAATCTGAAAGCCACGTATTCAAGGGTAACTTGCAAAAGGGTGATTTTATTTTCCTTCACAAGAAGCTGGCCGATGTCTGGGCTGCCGTGTTTTCTGGGATTAGAACACCTCCCCTTCCAGCCCCAAGCTGTGCAGAGCAAAAGTTTTGTATGTTACAGCCCAGCCTCAGAATGAACTAAACCATCCTGAGCCTTTCCCATTCATTGTCAATTTCCTACAGATAAAAGCAATTACCAGCAACTGCTTGGAGCCCTGGATTACTCCTTCCTTTGTGCCTACGCCATCGGGATGTACCTGAGGTAGGTGCGCCTGTGTGTCCGCCCTTCCCAGACTTTTGGTTCATTCAGTACAGAAAACATGGCCTGAGTGCTGAGGTCCACGGACAGCAGTGAGGCACTGGGGCCCAGGTGCCTACTCACAGGTGCTCCCCTCCTGGTTTCTCTAAAGAGATGGGCTAAAGCAAGCATGGGGCACCCTAAGAGGAGTGGTCTGGTGACCCAGGTATTCTGTTGTTAAACACAGCATGCCCTAGGTTTTCCTGGCCCCAGGGTCAGAATGTACCGTGAATCCTGATGCTCCTGGATCATGGTCCTTTAAAGGTCACTGCAGACCGCACACCCTGTTCAGCACAGCATATCATCTCTGTGTGTGGACCCTTCTCCCGGGTGCCTAGCACAAGACAGACACCTTGGATTTCATTGCCTGCTCTGTTCCTTGCCAGACGTGGCCTTGGACAAGTGACCACACCTCTTTGGGCCTCAGTTTGTTTCCCCTTTGCAAGATGAGGGAAATAATAGTTCTTATGTCACATAATTGTAGAGAGGATTGAATGAGCTGGCACACTAGGTCAGCACAGAGCCTGGGTGGGTGGGGCCTCCTAGCCCATTCCTGAGTCTAGACAGACCTAAGAGGTGACAAATGTTTCAGGGGTCAGAGGGCAAATGGATGACTGATCAAAAACTGGTTGATGTCAGCCTGGTCAGATTTGTTTGTTTGGTTGTTTAAGATTTATTTTTTTTTATGAGTGTTTTGCCTGCATGTATGTATGTGCACCATATGCATGCAGGAGCCTGCAGAGACCAGAAGACAGTAGCAGATCCCTTGCAGCTGGGGTTATAGATGATTGTGAGTTGCCATGCGGGTGCTGGAAACCAAGCCCGCATCCTCTGCAAGAGCAGCCAGTGTTCTTGACTGCTGAGCCATCTCTCTAGCTCCACAGCAAGATTTTTTTAAAAAGTATCGTACAAGGGTTGGAGATATATACAGCTCAGTGGTAGAGCACCTGCCTAGTATACACAGCATCCACAAGACCCTGGGTTCAATTCCCAGAACTGGAGGAAAAAAAGACCCAAAGGAAGAGCGTGGTGGAGATTATAGCCTTCCTCCCACGAGGCTTTGCTCAGGCACCAATCTTCAGAGCCCCTCAATCTCAGGATCCCACTAAATGTCAGCTTCCTTCCTCACATCTTCCCAACACGGTGGAATCAAGACTCAGGGTCTCCCAGCCCAGGGCTCCGGGGGTGGCGGACGAAGTGGCTCATGCTGATGGAGTGCCGTGGCCCCTTCATGACATGCACCTGTCTCACCACACGCAGAGCTTGTCTACATGAGAATGAATAATAAAGGGTTATCAAGTACAAGGGCATGACGTACACCTGGCCTGAGAGCAATGCCATGCAGGCCCCTCCCTGGGGCCTGGCCTCCACCAGCCTGCCAGGCATTCACCCTCCTGAGAACAAATACTTCTGGTCTGTCTTACCACACACAATACTCTCCAGTGTAGAAGGACCCAAAGGGGATCAGTTTCCTCTGTTACTAGAAAGTGGTATTTAAACCCGGATCTCATCTGGGGGGCAATTTTGACATTTGTGACTGCCACAGCTAGAAAGAGGGATCTTAGTGGCATCTAGTGGGTAGAGACCAGGGTTGCTGCCAGACACCCTAGGACAGAGCAGGGCCCTCCATGGTCAGGCCCCAGGTACCACTAGTTCAGAAACATAGCTGAGTGGATAAAATGGGTTTTGTATTGCTTCTTTATTGGCAAAGATAATTTTTCATGTAACTCACCAGTGAGTTTACTGAAATGGAATTCTGTCAGGCGTGAAATCCACAGTCTCACGAAGGAAGCAAGGCCATGCCTCCTCACTGAAGGGCCTTGCAGTGTGGCAGTGGGACACCACAGCCTGCACATTGCTGTGCAGTTTCTGTGAGCGGTGCTCTGACTGTATACAGATGAAAGCGGGGGAGATGGGCTTACCCACTATCGCAGGACACGCCAGGCCGGATCAGCAGGTGCAGCACAGACCCGAATCCTGTATGAATCAGATATGGTGCGGGGTGGTGTCTGTTCCATCAGATCTGCCCCTTAAGTCTCATCAGCAGATATGAGATGGGGGCTGGTGCTGTGTGGCCACACTGACGAGAACCCTCACCCTTAGCCAGTGACAGCCACTTTGGGGAGCTCCGCTGATTTGCCGCCCCCCCACCCCGATTCTGAGCCTTGGCAGGTCAGCAGCCCCTGAGATCTCTGAAGAGAGCAAGGTGGGTCCTCACTGACCAATCCTGCAGGCGTGTTCACACAGGAGTAAATAAACCTTAGCTCTAGACAGTTCTGCTCAGCTGAACATCTAGCTGAGGCTGCCTTATGTTTAATTACTTGTATTTTAGCATTCAACGGTGGTTTGTATGATTCGAGACAGATCTTTCCCGTTTGGTGAGCTCAAAAGGAAAAGCTCACTGCTGAATAGGTTCTAGAGATGAAGCTGAGGAGGTGTGGACCTAGGGTGCTGTTCTCCAGTGTCCAGACATCGCCCTACCCACCTGTCTGCTTGCTGGACCCCTGGAGTGGCTGTGTGGAAGCAAGGAGGCCTGAAGACTTTTCCTTCTTTAAAGACTTATTTGTGTGTGTACCCTGTGTGCGGGTGCATGTGTGTGGAGGCCAGAGAGAGCATCAGATCTTTCGGAACTGAAGTTTCGGGTCGTTGCAGCTGCTTAGTATGGGTTTAGGGAACTGAACTGGGATCCTCTGCCAGAGCAGCAAGTGATCCTCACCACTGAGCCGTCACTCTAGGTACTGTAGAGTCTTAGTGATTACTAAGGGCTTACGTCCTCCGTGGTATCATGCGTCTTTTTTTTGAGACAGAATGTCCCTGTAGCCCCAGTTGGCCTGGAACTCACTATATAGGCCAGGCTGGCCTTGAACTCACAGAGATCCACCTGACTCTGCCTCCTGAGTGCTGTGATTAAAGGTGTGTGCCACCAGGCCCGGCCTATCATGCATCTTTCATATCCACTAGAGTCACACTGTGACTCCTTGGGGATATTGCCCAGTGACAGCCTGTTCGGTGTGTGTCCTGTTGTGAAGCTAGAGCCTTGTCATACTCACCACCGCCACCATGACTGTTTGACAGAGGACCTGACACATGCATTCAGCTCAACTCTACCCCAAACAGCCCAGGAAGGTCAGACTCCAAAGAAGTCAGCTCACGCTGTGCCACTTTGTTGCTGTCAGGACTCAGAGGCCCATCCTTTCAGGCTTTGCTCACAGAGTAGGAAAATGTGTCTTTTGGTCAGGCAGTAGTGGCCAAGTGCTGTCCTCACTGACCCATCCAGCAGGCGTGTTCACACAAGTGCCTTGGTTACAGGGCGAGGGATTTGTTCAAGGACTCAATGATTCTTTTTCACATTGTGGTTTGACGGTTGAAGCTTTAAACTATGTACATTGACTGGCTATTGTTGCTATAAACAAGGGATTAACAAGTAGGGCAGGTCCTGTTTTAAAAAGAAGTCACAGTGTTGTTTTATTGTTTGACAGTGATTTTTACTAGAAATGAATCTAAGGGATCTCTCTTTCTTGGAGATCAGTGAGGTCCATGTGGCAACAGTCGTGTCTGGTCTCCTGGGAAATAGGGGCTGGCTTCAGAGATCTGGAAGTCGAGCGAACAGCGTGGGGACAGCCCAGAGACGTGGCCATGGTTGTTGGCAGTGGAGGTGCTGTTTCCTCACACCTCGTTCCTTGTTCCCTCAGCGGCATAATAGGGGAACGCCTGCCGATTAGGTATTACCTGACTTTCGGGATGCTGGCCAGCGGCGCCTTCACTGCCCTGTTTGGATTGGGCTATTTCTACAACATCCACAGCTTGGGATTCTATGTGGTAACCCAGGTAAGGGCCTGGGTCTGGGGCTTATCATGAGATCTAGGGTGGCAAGTTCAGGTCCCAGAATCCACCTCTGCCAAGACAGCAGACACCCGGTGCTGATGAGGGGGCAGAACAGGTCCATCCAAGGTCAAGGCTGGGTCACCTGGCATAGGAAGTCCCACCTCAGCTTCTGCTCAGACTCCTGGATAGATGCTTCCAGCTTCAGGAGCTGTCAGTCCAGCAGCTCCATGAGGTGTGACGCCCCAGGGCATCACCTGTCCTCACTCAGCATGCGAAGTGGCAAGTGGTGCTGGTCAGGACAGAAGGAAGGGTTGGTCTTAGAGTCCCTGGCAGTCCCTGGGGTGTCGGAGAGACAGTGGGTCAGGAGGAAAGGAAGGCTCGGAAGATGCTGGGTTGGAGTGGGGGGTGGGGGACTGAGGACGGAGTGTGTGTCTTCTCTTGGGTCCCACCCTGTGGGGCTTTCTGGCTTCTGCCCTTCCCTGTGGGTAAATACCGGCTGTGGAAGGAAACGGTTCTGGCCTAGGGGAGCGCGGGTAAACCCAGCAACTCCTGTTTAGTTTTGCTTTTCACACCTTTAGCACTTGGTAAAGCCTGGATGCTTTATTACCATGTGTTTTGTTCTTGCCCTTAGTATCAGTGGGAGGCGGGGTCAGTTCCGGAACGCTGTGACACCAAAGTCCATGGCCGTTAAGTGACAGAGGGGTTGTGCAGAGTTCCTGCACATCTTCCTGTAGACCTCCAGTCGTCTCTAGATTACTTATATCTAATACTGCGTGGACACACTCTGCAGCTCTACGTTTGTTTAGAGAACGGTTACGGTCCAGTGCGGGTGCAGCCGTTGTAGGTCCTTTTGTTTCTTTGCCTTGGATGCCGAAGCCCCTGGCTGTAATAATAAAATGTTAGAAGGAAGGAAAAGCACTTTCCCAGCGTGCTCCTGTAGCAAAGGCCCAGCTGAACAGTCCAGGAGCAGCAGCAGGTCACACGCTGCCCCCACATGCCTCCTACTAAGTTCCAGGGAGACCACGGGCACCAGGCTGGGCTGTCAGCTATGGTCTCAGCTCTCATGACGCCAAAGTAAACCCGCAGTGATACTGGTTCCTACAGAAAGTGTGAGCCCAGCTTCAGGGAGGGTCAACAGAAATGCCACAGGCAGCCAGGGAAGACGTGCCATTTCTAGGCCATATTTGTAACATAATTTATAAGCTGGTCTATAAAAAGAAAAGTTCCTATCCACAAACTTTTTAGATTCTAAAGAGGCTGGACTGTTTGGACCCAGCCACTCAGCAGAGAATTCTTGGTCCTTAGTCCTGGCTGGCTTTTGGTTTTGTTTATTCTTTTTTTTTCTTTTGAGGCAGAGTCACATGTGTAGTCCAGGCTGGCCTTGAACTCTCAGCAGTCCTCCTGACTTGGCCTCTGGGATTGCAGGTGTCAGCCACCTTGTAAGGTTTTGGTTGGCTTTTTTTCTTTTCTTCACTTGGGGGCGGGGAAGTGTATGGTGTGTGGTGTGTGTGTAGTGTGTGGGGGGGTGTTGTGGTGTGTGGGTAGTGTGTGGGGGGGTATTGTGGTGTGTGGGTAGTGTGGGTGTGGTGTGTGGGTGTGGGTATGGGTGTGTGTGTGTGGTGTGTAGTGGGTATGTGTGTGTGTGTGTGTGGTGTGTGTGGGTAGTGTGGGTGTGGTGTGGGTGTGGGTATGGGTGTGTGTGGTATGTGTGTGGTGTGTAGTGTGTGTGTGTGTGTGTGTGGTGTGTGTGGGTGTGTGTGTGTGGGTGTGTGGTGTAGTGGGTATGTGTGTCCGTGTGGTATGTGTGTGGTATGTGTAGTGTAGTATGTGTGTGTGTGGTGTGTGTGTGTGTGTGTATGTGTGTGGTGTGTGTGTGTGTGTGTGTGTGGTGTGAGCATAGCGTGTGCTGTGCTGGTTTTTGAAATGGGGGCTTCCTTGCTCCCAGGCTCAAGCAGTCCTGCCTCAGCCTCACAAGTAGCTGGGAAAACAGGCATGTGCCACTGTGCCCAGATTATATGTACAGGTATAAGCTATGTTTATATATCTATATGTAGATATACAGGCATATATCTTATGTATATGAACTACATATATGTACTTTAAATGTCATAGCTTAAACTATATGTAAATATAAAACTTAAAATTCATCATTGGAAAGCGCGGGGGGGGGGGGCACGCCTTTAAACCCAGCACTCGGGAGGCAGAGGCAGGGGGGTCTCTTGGGGGTCAAGGCCCCAAAAGTCTGTATAAGGATTCCCGGCCGCCCGGGGGGACAGGGGGACCCGAGGCAGAGGCAGGTGGATCTCTGTGAGATCAAGGCCACAGTAGTCTGTATAGAGATTCCAGGCCAGCTGGGGCTACAGGGAGACCCTGTCTCAAAAAAATAAACCAAAAACCAAACCAATAAAAACCTGTGGTCTTTGGCCTTGGGGCCGACCTAAAGGTCTTTCCTTTGTACAGGTCCTAGCACAGGGAGGACAGGGAGGGACGGGCGTCACCCTCGGTGAACCTCCTCTTCTTTGCCCACAGATCATTAATGGACTGGTGCAGACCACAGGCTGGCCCAGCGTAGTTACCTGCCTCAGCAACTGGTTTGGAAAAGGAAGGTGAGAGGCCGAGCCCCTGCCTCCAGCACCATTTGTTTCTTGAGTCTCCTGGAAACAAGACCACTTTATATTCCATTTTCCTTTCGACTTACTGCAGGAGCACTTTAAAAAGTCTTCTCTCTGAAGCAACATGTTGAATCCTCCAGGCTGGAGTTTCTCAAGTTTCCGTGAGGCTACAGCCCTTGAAACCTGTATAACCCAGCCCTCCCCTAGCTACGTGGGCAGAGTCTAGTGATTCCATACCTGTCAGCTGCGTGCCCCTACCTGGCCTCTGCCTCCCAGGCACTTGTGGGACTTAGTCCTGGGCCCCACCCCAGGCCTCTTGAAGGTGTGTCTGCACCACACCATGGAGTTTGAGAAGACCTGGCCTAGGTCACCCAGTCCCTAAGCAGCTGGGCCCGGTCGTTTGCAGGCCCTGCCCAGCTCGGCTGGGGTTGTTAGGCAACTGAAGAGTAGCTGCCCAAGACAGGGGAGCTAAAATGGGAAATGGACTCAGGAGCCCAATTTAGAAAGCTTGTTTCAGACGTGTGGCATGTGGGCCAGTACAAGCTTCTGTACTGTGATAGACAACCGGGTTCAGGTTGTAGAGGCACAAATTTAATCCTGGTTCTTCAAAGAATGACAGGAAAAGCCCTCTTTTCTCTTGAATTACAGAATAAAGGAGTTCTGAGTAAGGGATGGGATGCGTGATGACAGCCCGAGGCAGAACTAAGCTGGATTCTCTGCGGACTGCAGCTGCAGCCTCCGTGGGGCCTCGCTGGCTCGTGCCTGCCCAGTCTCATGCTGCGATGTGCTTGTCCTGCACACAAGTCCCATTCCATTGTCTCGGTACCACTCACGGTCCTGTCTTGCTGTGTTGCAGGCGAGGTCTGATCATGGGGATATGGAACTCCCACACGTCCGTGGGCAACATTTTGGGGTCCTTGATTGCTGGCTACTGGGTGTCCACGTGCTGGGGCCTGTCCTTCATCGTGCCCGGAGCCATCGTGGCAGCCATGGGGATAGTGTGCTTTCTCTTTCTCATTGAACGTAAGTATACATGGCCTTAGTAATGTCCACCTGGGCTCCTGCGTCCTGAGCACAACACACTGGCTGCGACAAGATGCCGTGAGTGCGCACGCTCTCTGGCTGGCTGTGCGCTGGCCAGGCCACGGACACTCCCGATGCGTGTGCAGACTTCCCAAGCAGCCTGTTCTCTCCCGATCGTGCTGGGTTTTCTGCTGTTCCCAATTTCTACAGTGACCCTTGTGGAACAAACCTCCACCCCCACCCACCCCGTCTCAGGCCTGCCCGCTCAGTCTACGTGGCTTCACCTCCTCACCCCGGCCACCTCACACCGACATGGACCTTGCCAACTTACGTACTTTCCGACAAGCTGTATCTTGGGCAGTGTTGTAAAACTGAGGTGTGGCTTGAGGCCCTTTATCTTAATTAGGTAAAGTGTCTACAGGAAAATGACACTTTCTATGTACCATTCTGGTCAGTACCAAACTTTTCATCTAATAGATTTTGAAAATAATTTTTGAAGTAAAGATCCGATAAGGAAAAGATTTGAGCAGCCACGCTGTGTAGCCAGGCCGTTCTAATTCCCCAGCCTGGTCTCAAAACACAGGCTTGTAGCTGGGCCTGGTGGCACACACCTTTAATCCCAACACTCAGGAGGCAGAGGTAGGCAGACCTCTGAGTTCAAGGCCAGCCTGGTCTACATGGTGAGTTCCAGGTCTGCCGGGACTACATACTGATGCCATCTCAGAAAACAACAAAAAGGAGCTTGCCATTAGTTATTTGATTTGGCTTAAAGCAAAATGAAACCCCGTGGCCCTGGTGTGTCCGGGCAGCTCCCAGCCCCCTCCCTCAGTTACAGGGTGGAACCCCGGGTACACACACTGCCCCTGCGGCCACCCCAGCTCTTCCGAGAATGAATGATTTTAGTTGGTCCAGTTTCCCACTTCTTTCTTTCTGACTGCGCAAAACAACCTTTTAGTTTTTAAATAGCTAGGGCTGTGTGGCTCTCAGACAGCCGTCTGGGGACATGAAAATAGAAACCAACGTTCAGATATGGAATTTAAATGTATGCCTGTGAGGAGAAGGGGGGATGGGCTGCTGCTCAAAGGAGCTGCTGAAGCAACTGGCCGGCCCAAGTCAGTGAACCGTGGGACGGCTCCTGCACTAACAGGCCAGCGGGTGGTGGTCTGCTAGCTGACATGTCACCAGAGTTCTGGGAAAGGCCGTCGATGCCATCATCTTCCTGGGTCCTGTGTCTTCCCTTCCCCCAGGCATTCCTCCCACACCAGCCACCTGGACAGAGAGAGCACACTTCCTCTTTGCTAAGACTCAGGGCCCCTGTGTACATCCTGTCCCAGCTCTTCACTTCCTTAACTGTTGAAGGGACTGGTTCTAGGGAAGAGGGGGGTACAGGGAAGAGCTGAGGGTGTGGCAGGGTTGGCTGCACATCTGGCTCTCAACCCAGACAGCATTGTCCCCATTCAGGACAGGATTGCCAAGAACAGTGAGCTCCCATTTCACCTTTTACAGGTTTAAAAAAAAAAATATTTTATTTATTTATTTTATTATTATTATTTTGGTCTTTTTGAGACAGGGTCTCCCTGTAGCCCCAGCTGTCCTGGAACTCACTATGTAGACCAGGCTGGCCTTGAACTCACAGAGCTCCTCCTGCCTCTGCCTCCCAAGTGCTGGGATTAAAGGCGTGTACCACCACGCCCGGCTATTTTTTTTTTTTTTAACTTTATGTGTATAAGTGTATTCCCTGCATGTATGTAAGTGTGCCCATGTCTTGCAATGCCGGTAGAGGTCAAAAGAGAGTGTCAGATTCCCTGGAACTGAAGTTACGTACAGCTCATAGCCGCCATGTGGGTGCTGGGACTCGAACCAGGGTCCTCTGCAAGAGCAGTCAGTGCTCTTAACTGCTGAGCCATCTCTCCAGCCCTCAACCTTTTCCAGTTTTATGCAGAGCCTCCTTCCCATGAGCCCCCAGCTACTCGAGGGGCAGAGTAAGGAGAGGACTTTCCGCCGGGCCTCCTTCGACGGTGTGCCCTGTCTTTCGGATCCTGGGGTGACCCCCTGGCCTTGATACTGTGCTGGTCCGTGCTGCAGCCGACACTCAGTCTCTGCTCCCCAGGCCCACTTAGCCGTGCCACCACCCCATCAGGCCCGTTACCAGCTGGCTGGGCCTAGAACCAGCTGACCTGGTGTTGCAGGCTTCTCTGCAAAGTTTTGCTAGAGGTAATGTGGTTAGGCTGGTCCTTCAGAGCTTGTCTGTGTCTCCTGTCTGCTCGGTCCTTCTTGGCTCTGGAGAGTAAGGTTGATATGCTGCTGGTGCTGTTGGGGTGTCCTGTGGAAGCAGGGCAGAGGCAGCAAGCCCAGCCTCAGGATCTGCCTTCCTTCCCCTCTAGTGTCACGTTCCCCCAGATCCTGCCAAGGACCAGGTGCCATCTATTTAAGCTCTTCACCACACTGTCTGTCCCCTCATCCTTCCTGCCCACCCCTGCACAGTTCTTCACTATGAGCCATGGGGCCCCAGGTCACACCGGCGCCTCCCACTCCTGCCCTCCCCTCTACATCCCTGGGCAGTTCCTGGTGTGACTTGTTCCCCTATCTGTTCAGAGTCACTGGTCATGGTCACAGCACCCTGGCGGCCCCTCCCTCCCTCCATTTGCTCTGCAAGACTGTCTCGGGGGCCTGGTGCCCCCAGACTCTGCCTTGCTCTGTCCCCCAGCAGGACTCCCTTGTGCCCCTGTGCTGTGATCTCCCACTGGGGGTCAGCCATGCCTGAGACCAGCTCCACCTCTTACACCCTCACATTAAGACCTTGGGATTGAGACCAGCTTCCCCTTACAACTGGGGGCATTTTCCAGGGTGGAAGGTCGGAAATGGTTACCCCTTGTGGAGCGCTGCCTGCATCCAGCATAACCTGTATCCAGTATGCTGTGCCAGGCCTCAGGGCAGTTCTCACACCCACTGTCTGAGGTACACGAGGTCAAGCTGCAGTTCAGGTCGCTGACATGAGTTTGAAGTGCCAGGACCAAGCCTTGCTGTACGTCTGCTCTTTTCAAGCCCCCCCCCCACCTCCTTGCAGTGACACTGACATGCTGTTCTCTCCAGAGGGAAGTCTGATCTCCACTCATGTTATTTCTGAAGAATCATCACCTGTAACAAGTGTTCTAACTCAGTGCTCTAATACCTGTCTCCCGTTTTTGTGTTGTTTCTGGACACTCTCCATGGGCCAGCGGTGTGCTTGGCTTGGACTGACTTACCACACTATGAGGTGCTTTCCATTTTCAGAGTCATGGACTCACCACCTGCCACTTTCTGGAGTGAGCTGCCACAGCCCCTTTCCACACTCCAATCAGCAGTCAGTGACCTGGTGCAGGACAGGCATATGGGAAGGGAGGCGAGCTGTGCCCTTCTCACCACACTCTTGGCCTGGCCGGTATCGTTCTTCCTTAAGCTTCTGCTCATGAGAGCGCCAGACAGCATCTTGTTCTCTTTTTAAAATGAATGTTTGTAGCCGGGCGTGGGAGGCAGAGGCAAGTGGATCTCTGTGAGTTCAAGGTCAGCCTGGGCTACATAGTGAGTTCCAGGCTAGCTTGAGCTACAGGAGACCCTGTCTCAAAAAGACCAAAAATAATAAATAAATAAATAAATAAATAAATAATAAAATGAATGTCTGTATACAGTCCCGCGTGCAATGTAATGGGACACATGGGTAATGACAAAGTTACAGTGGTGAACTGGGTAAATACACCTGCCCACTCACGGAGTCTCTTCCGTTTTTACGGGAAGAGGTCCCAAAGCTACTCACTTAGCAGGAATGCCAGGTGCAGGGGGTTTCTGTTGCCTATAGCAACCCGGAGCTGCTTGGGACCTTTTCTGGGTTCACGGGCTGTAGTCGGCTGTGTTCAGTCATAGGTCTCCTGTTTGTTCTTTCAGATCCCAAGGACATCAGGTGCTCCTCCACCCTGCCCACGGTAAGAACTCCTCTGTCTCCTGTCACCTTCCAGAACAGGGCACCATCCAGGTTCCCGACATATCCCGTGTGGTTCTCTGTGCAGCCGCATTGCTGGTGGGGAAAGAGCAGGCCACAGCATGTGCACCAAGACAAGAGCTGCAGCCCAGGGTCCACTCCGAGAGAGCCTGAGGCTGAAACTGGCCATCCTCCCCAGGAGGGTCCCCTGGGGCCTGTGTGGCAGTGAGCTGGCAAATGTCACTTTAGATTGGTGGTCACTGGCCTCAGATGGCCTTCTGGTCGACCCAGTACTCAGATCATGCAGGGTCAGGTCAGTTACCCATTGTCCCCTCTCCAAACTCTGCTGCGGCTCAGCCGTGAACATCCATGCCCTCAGAATGGCTGACAGTATCAGTTCCCACAAGACAGCACCTGCCCTGGTGGCCTACTGGCCATGTTCTCGTGCCCTGTTCCACCTCAGGGCAGCCATCTTGGGACCGGTGTGCTACTCTGGTGGTCTAGGAACACGCAGTCACCTTCCCCACCCCTCTCCAGCCCTGCTCCACGGACCCCTCCTCCCCCCGTGTGTACCCTCTCCCCCCTGCTGTCCTCCATCTCCTCCTGCCACTGAATCAGCCTTCGAGGTGCCCAGCAGCAGTGTCTAGCCACATCTTGTGGGCAATGTCTAGCCTTACCCACTTGGCCTGGCTCCACACTTGATGCAGCTTTTCCCTCCCTCCCCCCTTCCTCTCTTCATCCTCCCTCCTTCTCCCTCCTCTTTTCCCTCTCTTGATCCTTTCCTCCCTCCCTTCCTCCCCTTCCCTCCTCCCTTCCCTCCCCTCTTCCTGTCTTCTCTCCCTCCTCCCCTCCATTTCCACCCTCTGTGGAGCATGTCCCTGGTTTCTTACATCATGTTTGTCATACTGTCTACAGACCCCCAAAGTGGGAGCTCAGCAGCTCCTTGGCCTCCTCTGCCCCCCCTGCCCCCCACTCCCATCCACCCTCCCCTGCCGGATGGCCCGCAGGGTACCATCTCAGCCCCTCCCTGTCACTGACACATCCCAGCCGGGTCCTCTCCCAGAACCTCCACAGTCACGGAGACCACGGGCTCAGCCTTCCCACATTGACTCCTGTTGTCTTTTCAGACCACAGTAGACTCTGTTCCATCCATGAGCTCACTGGTACCCTGACCTTCGCTTTCAAGACAAAGGAACCACCGCCCCCCAAGGACAGTATAGGCCCAGGAGGGGTCACCCCACTCTTCCCTCACCCCTGTGTTTACTGCTCCTTTCTCAACCTCAGGGCCTGTCACTCCTCCCACAGCCTCTGGGGTCACCCACTCCTCCTCCCTGGCTTCTGGCCACCCCCACCCAGACCTCTCAAGTCTCAGCCCACGTCACCCTGGCTGAGCTTCTGCAGATGGGCTCCTACATTCTCTCTGCTCTGTGGATCTCCCTTCACTCCACCTTCAGAGGCTCCTTTAATGTGTCACCACAAGCTGGCCTGACAGCACTCAAAAGAATATCCCCTTTACATGTGGCCCTGGCCCCGGTGCAGTGCAGGAACCTTCCTGAGGGTCTCAAGCAGACCCCTCTGTCAGCTCGAGGAGCAGTACCTGAACTGTGCAGCAGAGGGCGCCAGAGTCCCTTCCTACTGGGACTTAACACTCACCCACTTCTGCGTACAATTCAAACGAAGACAAGGATAAAACCATCTAGTAGCCAAAAGCAAAAAATGAGAACAGAAGACCACCATCTTCTGGAAAGTTAAATATGATTGATGTGTGGAAGTGTTCTGAAAGCCAGTTCCCAGCCGAGGTGTAGAGTTCAGCGTCCGAGCTTATAGACAGGGACGGCCCATGTGCTATGAGGCCTCTGAGCCACATGGACGGCCAGCTTCTGACACAGTAGAACTTGGGCACCCACTTCCACCCAGGAACAGTCGCGCCTCTGAAAAGTTCTCCTCCCCGCAGTTGAGGCCCATCCTGGGGATGGGAGACCTTCTAGAAGGGGCCATCTCCTCACTGCCGGCTTAAGAAATCAGGCAGCAGGCCAGGCAGGAACTGAGTTTCTACTGGTGCTGAGTCTACCTGGTTTCCCCCTCCTCGTTGGAGCTTAGCCGAAAGTCCAAGAGGCAATTGTTCTTCCCCTTCTTTCAGTCTCTGAACAAGCCACCAGCGTCCCAACTGAGCCCAGCTGCCCTTGGGGTTGTGGCAGGCCAAGCCAGGGACCAGCTCCTCTCCCTCTCTTGAAGCTCTGTCAGCACAAAGCTGAAGTTGGCCTGTCTCTGGTGACAGTGCATCAGTTGTTGCAGATAGCCCAAAGCTCTGTTTACTGAGAAGGGGACCAGAAGCAGGCCAACTTCTGCTTTGTGCAGCCCGAGGCTCACTTTGACTCATAGTTCTGGAGGTCCATGGTTTGGGCCACCTCTGGAGCTGGCCTTCTTGCTGGTAGAGCTCCAAGGTGGCATGGGGCGTCTCGTGGTGGGAGGCAGACGCATACTTGCAACGTGTTTCTTCAAGTCTCTCCTTTCTATAAAACCACCAGCATCCAGAGCTGGGAACCCCAACCCTAGTCGCCTCCCCCAGGTTCCGTCTTGCCATCATAGTCATGTGTTTCTGTCCTGTCCGTGTTCACAGTGGGGCTTAGCCTTGACACACAGTGTTGTGGAGGGTGCTCAGCAGTAACAGGCAGAGGAGAAACAGATAAATTAGATGTCATAGGAATTTAAGACATTAGTTTTTCAGAGATAAGAGAGACAGTCCCACAGGATGGGGGGAAATACGAATTGTGTCGGAGGGGAGATCTGTATCTCACATGCATTAGGAATTCGTAGAACTTGGTAATCAGGCAGCCAGGGTCACACACGGTCAAGGGATCAGAGCAGACATTCATTCTGGATAGGTGCTTTTATCAAAAGTCAGCAGAGAAACTGGATCAAACTCACAGGAAGCCTCATTATGTGGAGGGGAATGGGTGCTCCCACCTCGCTGTGGAGGACGAGACAGGCTGGAGGTGGAACCGGCCTGGTTAAGTGGAGAGCTTCCTTAAAACCAAGAAATGCACCCAGAGAAATCACAGTCACACAAGAACTTAGATGTGCATGTTAGCAACATGGTTTATAGCAGCCCATGACAGAAACCATACAAACAGCTGTCGGCTGATAAACAGATACAGCAGGTACACTGTGCCATTATAGGACAATAAAAAGGAATTGGGTTCTGATTGCACCGCGTGGGTGAATATTAAAGCCGTTGTGCACACAGCCCAGCCCCTGCACAAAGGCAACAGGAAATGAAGTCGGTCAGTGGGTGCAGGGCTGGGTCGGGTGCAGAGGGACAGACTCCTGCCTCTGAAGGTGAAGGGGTGCTCGGGGATTGAGGAAGGTGTTAAATGTAGCTCTGACTCACACACCCCGAACTGTGAGCTTTAAATAAAGGAGTGGCGCAGGGTGGTGGTATGTCTCAGCGTAGCTGTTTGGAGATGCTAAGCCCTGGTCCTGGACTTTCCTTACCTCATGTGGTCCACACTCGTCTCTCCTGCGCCCTGCGGTTCTGCCCTGTGTTTGAGCAGGCCCCAGGTGAGGTCTGTTCTGGCATTAGGTAGCCGTGTCTCTGCAGCCCTCTCAATGGAGAGAGGCCATGCTCGGGTTCCGTCTGTTTTTCTCCTTTAAATCATTTTTGTTGAGGAACTCAGAGCACTTGTCCTATGGACTTTCCCACACTAGGCGCTCAGTGACCCAGCCCCCCAGAAAGTATCTAATGGGCCCTGTCCCCTGTCTCTGCTGGAGACTGGCAGCCCTGATCTAACCCAGAGCGGAGTTTTCCAGCCAGACTCTGTTTCAAGTGAACCATAATGAAGAAGTAAGCAGGGAAGTGTGGAAGTGTTGTTTAAAACTTACCTCGAGGCCAGCCTGGTCTGCACAGCAAGTTCCAGGCCAGCTGGGGCTACAGGGAGACTCTGTCTCAAAAAGACAAAAAATTTGTCTTGAGTCCAGGGATGTTAATGAAAAGTTTTCACGCCTCTGTTCTGACTGTTGAAGAGCTTTAGGAATTTGCTCTTTTCATTCGTGTTTGAGCTCTGCATTTAGCCTAAAACAACATATTGATATTTTAAATTTATTGTTATTTTATGTGTATGACTGTTTTTGCCTGCATGAATGTAAATGTACCCGTGTCATGCAGTCCCCATGGAGGACAGAAGACAGTGTCAGATCCTGTGGAACTGGAGTTAGAGACAGTTGTTAGCCACCATATGGGTGCTGGGATTTGAACCCAGGTCCTCTGCAAGAACAATCAGTGCTCTTAGTCACTGAGCCATCTCTTCAGCCCCTTAAAAAAAAAATGTTTTTGTCTCCATATTAGTTGGAACTCAGTTCAGCAGCAAGCAATCAGAAAACTTCAAGTTTAAGAAAAGGTATTTCTCTCCTACCCAAGCAGTCTAGAGCTAGCCAGCCCAGGGCTGTGTGCTGTGGTCTGGTGTGAGGGACCCAAGCTCTTCCCACCTTACTGTCCCTTGTACGTGACCTTCTGCCTGAGATGATGTCTCCTAAGCAGTTATCCCTGCCACAGTGTTGACGCTTAGTGATTGTGTGCTGGGTGACGGTGAGCAGTTGGTCCCGGTGTCTGCTGGAGCGCCAGTGATTGCATGTGTATTCCCTCTGGCAGGAAGGGGCCAGGCAAAGAAAGGGCAGGCCCCCCTCCTTTGAGGCTTTCTCGAGGCTCCTCACAGCACTCTAGCAGACCAAAGGGGTTGTAAGATGGGCCTTTGTCTTAAGCATCTGAGTTCCCAGCCAGAAGGCAGGGTCTCTGCTGAAATACCACAGGTGCCCCCGTTCTCCCACCGCTCCCTCTTCCCAAGTAGTCGTCCTCACACTTTCAAGCCTTAAAAGCCAAAACCAAAAACCTCAGATTCCACGTCTGAGACTAGAAGTGCGGTTTGTGTCTGGCTGTTTCGCCTCATATTGAGCTGGTTCCGTCTGTTTTCCCGGCGATGGCATGATTTTGTTCTTTATGGCCGTATGAAACTCATCATGCACACGGACCACATCTTCTTGACCGGTGCACCTGTTGATGAGCACCCAGGCCAATCCCATAACCGGCCATTGTGAACAAGCGCTGTCATAAACGCAGATGTGTTGTGAGCTTCGTTTCCTCCGGGTATGTCCGGGGAGTGGCTGCTGGTCGGACGTAGGCCGTTCAGTTAGTGGAGAGCTCCACATGGCCGAGGATACTGAACCGCCCTCCCCCGCCTATCTACCGGCCATTCCTTTGAAAAGCTCATTTCCTGTCCAACCGGGTTGGACTACCGGTTCCCTTCTGTTTAGTTGCGAGGTGAATGGCTGGAAAAGTTCTCTCTGTCCGCCCTCTCTTGAGTTTCTTCCCCTGCTGTGCAGAAGCTTTTCGATTGGCTACAAGTTCCTGTGTTGGCTCTTGGAGACCGGCTTAGGACGCCCATGCCTAGACCTGCAGCTTTCCCCATTCCTCTAGCCGTTTCAGAGCTTTAGGGCCCGCATTTCGAACTGATTTTTGTACAGCATGAGAGAGAGGCGTGGAGTTTCACTCCTTCTGCATGTGGATATCCAGGTTTCCATTTGCTGAAGAGGCTGTCTTTCGTCCAGTGTTTGAGGTAGCTTTGTCAAAAACACACGGGTGTAGCCATTTCTTCTGGGCTTCCTAGGACCACAGGACCATCACCCCCGTGAAGCGGAGTGGCCGTGGTCACCCTCGGCTTGGCCCACAGTTACAGCTGTAGTATAAACAGATTAACCAACAGCTAGGTCTATGGTAATGGGCTTTAGCCTGCCCTCCTGGTGAGGACGAGGGAGGGTCACCAGATCCTCACAAGACCCTTCCCAGAGATCCTGGTCACCAGAGGTATGGAATCTTAGAAATGCTTAAGTGTCTAAGGTAGAAAGGCCGAATATGGGGCTTCTCAGTGGGCAGCTGCCCAGGCTCGTGAGTAACCTCAGTAACCTTATCTTGCCCCAGTGTGGACTTGCTGGAATCTTTCTTTGGTGCTGAGTCCCTCCTTATTTGGGGTGAATAGGTGTTTCTCTTGTATCTTCCAGGAAGTTAGTGGGTGTATTTCTGGTCTGTAATCTATTCCCTTGGTCCATGTGTCTGTCTCAGTGCGATGCCCTGCAGCATTTGTCACTGTGGCTCTGCAGTGTACTTTGAGGTCAAGTATCATGATGCTGAGCCTCCAGCATCACTGTTTCTGTTCAGGGTTGCTTTAGCTACCTGGGGTCTTCTGTGTTTCCACATGACTTTTAGGATTGTGTTTTCTGCTTCTATAAAAAAATGTCATTGGAGTTTTGATGGTGATTACATCGAATCTGTAGATTGCTATCTGGGATATTGGTCCATGTCATTCCTAATGCATTTTCTATTCTACATCAACAAACAATGTCAAGTTCAATGCTGTTGATAGAGGTTGAGTTGCCGTAGCTGGCCCTTTCCTGTTTCTTTCCACCTCAGTCTCGGAGCCTGTTCCATCTTTACACTCTTCCTTGAGATGAACTGACTGACCCATTATCTTAATTGCTTGACATAACTTTTTATTTATTTTTAATAATGTGCATGTGGGGAGGGGTACATACACATGAGTACTGGTGCCCATGGAAGTCAGAGGTGTCGAATCCCCTGGAATTGAAGTCATGGTGGTTGTGAGTTCTTAACTTGAGTGCTGGGACTCAGGTCAAATTCTGGTCCTCTGGAAGAACAGCAAGGACTCTTAATCACTGAGCTATTTCTCCAGCCCAATGGAAGTATCCTTTTTTTTTTTTTTGTCTCGAGACAGGGTCTCTCCGTATCCCCAGGAGGCCTGGAACTCACTATGTAGACCAGGCTGGCTTCGAACTCACAAAGATCCACCTGCCTCTGCCTCCCTAGTATTAAGACTAAAGGTATGTACCACCACGCCCAGCTTGAAAGTATTCTTAAGGAACTGTTCTCATGAAATGTTTTTCTTCCAGCATCCCAGAGTCTCTGAGAACAGCATAAACAGATTTAGACTGCAGAAGCAGACTGCACACGGTGAAAAGAGCGGGCCTCTGGTAAGTGGCACATGACTTCTACCTACCAGAATGTCTTCACGGACTGACTGGCTGTCGCCGTATCTCTGAGATGTCCCAGACATCCAGGCTCTTCAAGCCATCGAGCCTCCTGGAATCCCTGGAATTGCCCTTGTTGACTTTTGTTGTCAAAGTTGAAAGCCATTCATCCGTTCAGTGCTTGGTTACTAGCACCCAGAGCCCACTGTCTGAAGTTGTTAGAGCCAGGAAGGCAAGTTTAGATGAGAAATGGGCAGAGGCCTCAGCCACATGGCACCCCACGTCGGGAAGCAGGGTGGGAGGTGCTGTTCCAGCTGGCCCCAGAAGGGGGCGCGGGGCAGAGCTGTAAGACAGGTGGGTGCTTCAGGTACCCGACACATAGGATAATGGTCAGAGGAGCACAGAGTGGGCTGGGGTACAAGGAGACATAAAGAATCCATGTCACAGGTTCAAGCAAAGGTGATGGAGATGTCATAAACAGCCCTCATCCCTCCCCCCCTTTACAGATGAGGAAACTGAGGCTCTAAGCTCTTAACTTGTCTTCTGCAGTAGAGGAGAGACTCCAAAGTAGACCCAGAAGACTTCCGTCGGTGCCTGGCCCTTCACCTGCCCTGGCCTCTCAGGACTCTTCTAGATTCAGTACCTCAGAGAGTTCACTGAGTTCACTGAACTGAGCCTCCTGGGGCACTTTAGCTTTGATCTTAATCAATGAATTTATAGCCATTTTCTCTCCTTTTGAAATCATATTGCTTAAATGATCAACACGATAAACATGTTTCTTACTTTTTTTAAAATTGTCCAAGGAAATTTATTTGTGGTGGCCAACGTACAGGAAGGACACATGATGTCTCATGCATCTTAGTCTGCGTGTTAAGAGAGCGTAGGCAGTAAGTAGTTAACCAAAATGCTTTTGGAGGTGTTCAGCCTGCAGTATATAGGCCCCGAGTACCGCAATCTAGAATAGTTACAAATGCAGCTCAATCATAAGCTTACTTAAAACACTGTGAGATGTGTGTGTGTGTGTGTGTGTGTGTGTGTGTGTGTGTGTGTGATTTGGTGGTGGTGGTGGTGGTAGACTTGATTGCATGGTTATTGAACATGAACTTTGTAGATGACACGTTGCAGTGTCAGAAGTTTGGACCTCATCTACTAGAATCTCTGCTCACTTCCGAGTTTCATTCTAAAATTTCAATGGCTGTCCGCACAGCTGGGGCTCCTGCAGTGCCTTGAAGGCTGGCTTTCTCTCTCAATCAAGACAGCAGGCCTTTTGTTCTGAGTAGCAACTGATCTGAAAAACTAGCCCTGACTCCAGGGTATGGCTTCCCTCTTTCCTTTTCTGTCCCTTCTGCAAAAGTCTGTTTATGGACATTCCACCGAAGAGCCAGGTATACAGCAGCCCCGATGTCTTACTTCAGGCTGATTGCAGTGGAGCTGGACCAGACTCACAGACCCTGTTCACATGGTATATTTTGAGCAGGCCCCTACCTCTACCCTTGCCATGGGTTAGGATTTGTAGAGGGGTGTCCCATGAGCTTGGCAGACCCCCACCTCCCCTTTCTGAGAGAGTCCCGGGTCAGACCTCCAGGCTCTGACTTATGCCACTGACCGCTTCTAATGGCAGGCACAGGCTTAATGCTAGCGGAACAGGTAGCCCAGTGAGTCCTCTTTTGGTCTTTGTGGCTTTCTGATGGTTGCCGTGAGGGTGGTCATAATTGTCATTCCCAAGGCCGCTTGGCCTCCTTGGCATCTCTAGGACTCTCCTGACTGTCTGAAGCTTGGGCCCTGTGGAGATCCTGCACCTTGCAGTGGGTGGGAGGCAGGGACCTCTCCCAGGACAGGTTTCCACAGTGTGGCTACAGACTCACTGTGAAAGGAGTGGGGCACTGACCTTCACATACCCTCCTTCCATGGGGGGGGGGTGTGCCACCTCCAGGCCTTGTATCCGGAGACAGGAGCTTCTGCCCCCAGGAGTTGTCTCTAGTCATCCTTTGTTCACCCTGTGAGGAAACAGTCATTTTTGCTTGTTTTAAAAGATCTACCACCTTACTTTCCAGTCTCTTCCAACCACAAAGGCGATGCTGTGTCCACCCCCACCAACGTCTCCCTCCGTCAAACACCACCGCCCCGGCAGCTTCCCCCAGAGGAATGTGTGTAGCTCAGTGTTCCCCCCCCCCAGTATCTGCAACTTTAAGCCAACCCAGCAGATGGCGCCCTAGGGCACATTACAACTCCCAGGAGGGCTGTAGCCTTAGGGAGCCTGGGCTTTACCCAGGGAAAGCAGATGGGCGTTCTGTGATTGACAGGTCTTACTGCTGTCCAGGTCACAGTGGACTTGAATGTACCCAGCAGCAGCAGGTCTTGTTTTAAACTTCATGTTTAAAGGGGGCTGTGAAGCCCAGCAGGTCTCAGCTTGGTCCCCGGGAACTGGTCAGGGATCTGAAGCTGTTCTAGAGACTTTTGCAGCGCAGCCGGCCCAGACATTGGGTGTCAGGCTCCCAGGAGAGCCAGTGTCAGGCACAGCGGAGAGCTAGTGGCCAAGTCTCCTAAGCTGGACACAGGATTGGGGATTGATGAGAAAAAAGCCCATTCCCTGCAAAAAAATGTTTGTTTCTTTACACCTTGAAGGTGTGTCATGTAAAACTTGTCAACTTCATTCCAAAACATCACACTGTGGTTCAGAGCAAAAATGTCCTGGTCAGTGAGCCTGGCCTAGATGATGTGTCTCCACCCCAAGGTCACACATGATGCTGAACATCTGTATGACCTGCCACCCGGCTTTCTGAACTGCTTTTCTCTGGAACAGAATTCTAAATATCAAGAATACGATAGGGTAGGGAGGGCATGTGAATGTTTTCACCTTTTTTCCAAACCTCAACTGTCATTTGAATTCTCCTTATGATGAAGCCTGCTGGCGTTGGTGGAAAGTGTGAAATGCATAGGAGCGCCCATCTTGAAGCCTTCGGACTGGTGGTTCATTCACGAGGAGTCTTTTCAGATCAGCCTTGCCCTGACTTAAAACCCCACCCAGAGCTGGGCTCTTTCTCCTGTGCTCTAGTGAGCACAACTCTGTCCCTGAGGAATGTTCCCGGTATGGGAGGACACAGATATCAGAACTGGCTTCTGACAGTGTTTGTTGACCGTGAACTCCCTGTAAGGTACAGGACCTTGTGAAGAATTCCTCACTGATGTGTTCATGAAGTTACATGTCATCCCACCGCTCAGTGACCACCATTGCTGGTTTAGATTTTAACTTCTTTCTTTCCAGAGAATCACCCTGCAGGGGCCTAAGTGTGTGGGCAGATATGTAAACAAACCCTCCATGCATGCAGAACCTTGTGACATTGCAACATGATGTCATCTACAGAGTTCATGCTCAAGAACCATGTAATTGAGTTACCAAGAAAAAAATTGCACACATATAAATCTCTTAATGTTTTAAATAAGTTTACAATTTTATGTAGAGCTCTGTTCATGAGGCTGGATACGCCTCATTAGATCATAATGAAAATCCAATTCTGATGGCATGTTATTATCTAATCTAATAGATCCCAGTCATCCTCCGATGGAACCAGAATCCAAATGTTTTTTGGTTTTTTTTTATTATTACAAGACACATCATGCCCGTGGGTGTACCTGGATTTACACTGGTCCTTCTCCATAGAGGTGTGGGATTTAACTGCATTTTCACGATTTATTTTTTGTTTATTTTTATTTTCTGTGTATAAGTGTATTGCCTGCATATATGTAGGTACACTTGTGCATACAATGCCTGTAGAGGCCAGAAGGGGATATCAGATCCCTGGAACTGGAGTTATGGATGGTTGTTAGCTACTGTGTTGGTGTTGGGAACCGAACCCAGGTCCTCTGGGAGAGCAGCCAGTACTCTGAACCACTGAGCCATCTCTCCAGCCCTTTCACAGTTTCTGAACCAAAGAGCTCATGAGTTAACGGTATTTCACAAAGCCCTGTGGGTACAGACAGCGACGAGGCTGTGGCCATAGAGACAGAGCTACGCTTACATCCCCAGGGAAGCAGAGTCAGCACTGAGCTCAGCGCTTCAGCCATGCCCCGGGTGACACCCAGTCCTTTTTCTTTTCATGGCCAGGATCCGGAGCTGCAGTGCTTACTGCTGTCGGATGGGAAGAGCCCCCTGCACCCGAGCCACGTCGTCGTCATCCCGGGTGACAGCAGCAGCGGCATGGCTGCCATCAGCTTCACCGGAGCCCTGAGGATCCCGGTGAGCCCGAGTGCCAAGGAGAACACACTTGCCGTGGAGAGGGCTGGGCTCCTAGTGGGTTTGAAAGAGTCTGTGGGTCGGGTCCTCAGGTTCCCTGTGGATGGTGCAGCTAGTCGCTTTGGGGCATATGTGGCTACCTGCTGTGTGTGTGTGTGTGTGTGTACGCCCCTCTCTTAGTTCTGTGCTGTTTCTGTGGTTTTAAGATGCATTTTTTCTGTTTAGAAATTCAGATATTTCATAGGTAAATGAAGCTCCCTGTTTTCACTTGAAAAACTGAAAAGCCAGCTACCCTGGACCTGCACCCGGGAGACTGTGTCCTCCTGGCCCCCCAGCACCCCCTTCCACTTGCCTGCTGGCTCTGAGGGCATAGGACACTGCCAAGAGGCGCCCCATGCTCCCTGTTCTGTCGCTCTGCTGAGCCCACTCCGTTTTCCCTTTCTTTTAAAGAGGCTCCACAGCACAGTGAGGGTCTGCCCGCCCGCAGTGCCACGTGAACTGCAGGTTAGGTGAGGCGTGAAGGGAGGGAGGCGAGAAGAACACACAGCAGTGCCCCCAGGGGTGGACCTGGTTGTGCTCTGGCCCTTGGGGTCAACTGGCCTGATGTAGCTGTGAGCCCTGGTTGGTCTCCACAGCTCAGGCTCAGGCCTGAGTACCAGGTCCCTGGACAGGCCTCACAGCTAGCCAGTGAAAGATGCCAGTTTTAAATGAAACTTTTCTAACTTTGTGCTCTCAATACCAACTAGAGGCTGTTCTATGGGACCTTAATGCAGCAGATTGCTGCCCCAAATGCTTCTGCATAAACAGGGTGCAGGCTAGCATGTAAATGCTGGTCCTAGGGCAGTGTGGACAGGACAGGCTCTGGAGGCGTGACCTGGATCTTAGCCTGACCCCACCCAGATAGATGGCCTGGGCACCCCCTCTAAGCCTGCATTTACCCATCTGTCAACTGGGCATCTCCCCTGGTACAATGCCATCTACTGGTCTAAGGATGAAGTGAGTTGAATTCATTCTAGCAGAGCATGCTAGGCACATGGTAGGCTTACGGTAGACCACATGCTCACGTCCTCATGCCATGATCTAACTGGAAATGCCTTTTTGTTGGTATTTGTGTGTGTGTGTGTGTGTGTGTGTGTGTGTGTGTGTGTGTGTTGGATACATATGAGTACGTGGGTATATGCACATGCAGAGGCCTGAGGAAGACATTGGGTGTCCTCCTCTGTCGCCTCCTACCTTACTGCCTTGAGATAGAGTCTCTCCCTGATCTGGAAGCTTGCTATTTTGGCTAGACTGCCAGCAAGCTCCCAAGACCTGCCTTTCTCCACCCCTCTGTGCTGGGGTTAGACATACACTGCCATGCCTGACTTCATGTGGGTGCTGGTGTTTGAACTTGGGTTCTTATGCTTGTACAGCAAATACTCTTACCCAGTGAGCCACCTCCCCACCCAAGTCCCTGAGTCTTCATGAGGGTCCCTCCTCCCTCAGGAGGGAACGTTAATTCATACATGTTGCGTGAGTCTCATCAATGCATATTTTCATGGAGCCTGGTCCATGTGGACACCAGGTTTCCATCTTAGCGGCACTGGACCAGGCGAGTCTAAGCATGCAGTGCCTCCCCAAGCCAGGTGGAACCCTCTAGAGATGGGGTGTTGCACAGTAATGGAGTCACCGTCCTGGGTTGCATGTCAGATTACCCTGCCGAGCCCACACTTGGGGTTCACAGTCTCTCCCTCTTCTAGGGTGTGATTGAGTTCTCGCTGTGTTTGCTATTCGCCAAGCTGGTCAGCTACACATTCCTGTTCTGGCTCCCACTGTACATCACCAGCGTAGGTAAGCGCGTTGCTGGAAATGTGGAGCCGTTCAACTCATTGACTGCACAGAACTCCTGTGCACCTGCTGGGCCGGAGACTAGGGGAGAAGGACCACACGTGGTGACCGGGGAGGGGTGGCACGGCTATGCAGACGGGAGAGAATGTGCAAGTGTATGTGGTTCTGGTAATGACCTTGACAGGCCTTGGGCGGTAGCGCTCAGACTGTGTTATAGTCCAGACCATCTGCATTTAAATCTGGGCCACGTTAGGCTTCGGAGCACAGCAGCCAGCAAACAACGGTGAGGCCACAGAGGATTGAGATAGGCGTCCTCAGTCATCTGACTTGGAAACTGCTTCTGGGGTGTATTCTGATTTGTGGGAGGGCTAACAATCTGTCTTAGATGTCCAGAGGCCAAGAGTGTCTGAAGCCGTAGGTCATGATTGAATGTTCCAGGAAAATCGTAGTGTGCATCCCTGCGTGGCGTATGAACAGAGCGACGGGGTCAGCAGTTCCCAGGAGATCGGTTGGGCTGGTGATAGAGCGTCCTGGTGGGGGCGGGAGTGGCCACAGACTGTGTCGAAGCCACGGCCTGGGAGCTGGGAAGTCGGAGAAGGAGAAGTAACTGGTCTTCACAGAGATAAAGACTTGGCTTGGTACTCGGGGTACACCGCAGGAAGTAGGGCTTTGAGAATGGGATGTGCAGAGATTCCAAGAGGCATCATAAGGCCAAATCAAGGTTGACCAGAGGCGAAGGCTGGAGGGCAATGCTGCAGCGGGGAAGCTGGGGACACAGCAAGGGAACTTCCGGGCAGAGCTAACGAAGGCAGGCCTGCACGAAGGAGGCATGGTGGGTGGCCACAAGGAGCTCGGAGCTGTAGGTTCTGTCCCTGCCTGACAACCCGCATCTCGTCTCTCAAGGTGGATAGTGCATCTAACTGGGAGCCCTTGAGAGGGGGCTTTTGTTCCCTTGTGATTGCACAAGGGCGACAATTTCAACTTGAGTCTTGAATTGACAGCCTGCACATTCCGAGTATTGGTTTGAGTCAAGCCAAGTCTTTCAGATGGCGTTCGGGGCAGGGAAGAGCTGGGTCTGACCAGACATCCAAAGTGCCTCCAGCAGCCTCCTCACACCGGCAGCATTCACCCAAGTGCAGAGGGCCGAGCGGAGTCACCTGCCACTGAGGCGCAGGAAGGCTCTGGTCCCTCCGGGCATGTGGTACCACACACTCATCTTGGTTCCCTGCTGGAGGAGGGGCACTGTGTGGCTGAATGAATGTTCTTAGCCTTTGCTCCAGGGGAGCCCTGCATCTGACCTTGAGCCAGCTGCCCTCAAAAGTACACACACACACACACACACACACACACACACACACACACACCCTACCTCCCACCCCCCACCGGGCAGCTTCCCAGGCCTGCTCTCTGTCCTGAGCTGATGATCCTTTGACCTTTGCCTGTGGTCCCCATGCACAGGCCACAAGGCTGGTTGGGCAGTGCCAGGCTTGGTGAGGTGACATCTCCCCTTTTGTGCGGCCGGCTGGTTTGTCCCTTTTGAAACAGTTCACTGGTGATCACGCTTGGTATGAATCTGCTTGTGGAGCAGAGCCCTGTGTGGGCCCCTGGGGGATGCTTGCTGAGGGCGTGTCCTCTGTAGCTCATACGCTGCTTATCCACAGATCACCTGGACGCCAAGAAGGCTGGGGAGCTCTCCACCTTGTTTGATGTGGGCGGGATCTTTGGTGAGTTCATGACCATTTGCCGCGCTTTGTCAGGAGCCTGACAATTAAAGTGTTGCGACACACCCTCCTGAGGGTCACCCTTCGGGAGGCTGAGACAGGAAGACGTGAGTTTGGGGCCAGAGTAAGACGCACAGTAAGAACTTGTCTCAGAAAAACAGTCAAGCAATGTAGTCAATACCTATTAAGTTAGTTTTACTGCTGGGAGGGCGCTATGTGGGAGACACACACACCACCAGGCAGACGGATGATAATATTAGTACCCTAGGAGGTAAAGGGGCCTCAGGGCTGCCCTAAAGCTGGACCCTTAGACCACCCTGTACCTCCCACGGACCATCCAAGATGAGTCCTCTTAGGAGGGGAGGCCCCAAGCAGCCATTTTCTTCTGCAGATGGGCTTGGGGAGGGGCACTGGTGTTCTTGTTCCCATGACTCAGTCTCCCCCTGGGTAGCTCATGCCGAGCATCAGCTCCTGAAGCCAGGCCCTCTCTCTTGTAGGTGGGATCTTGGCAGGTGTAGTCTCAGATCGTCTGGAGAAGCGGGCCTCCACTTGTGGCCTGATGTTGCTGCTGGCGGCCCCTACGGTGAGTCTCTGCACTGCCTAAGGCCACAGGCCGCCTCTGCCATCCTCCCCGCCAGCCACCATTCTGTTCTTTGACCCAAGCTACATGTCCCTAGAAGCCCAACATGACCCTGGTGGGTGGCACACAGCGCCCTCCTGAGATGCATGTGGCACAGCTTTTCCCTAACCCTGGGCTTCGCCTCTCCAGGGGTGTCCCTCCCCCATCCCTGTCCCCTTCAGTCACACTCCTGCCTATGCCTTAGGACCTCTGTGCCATCCTTCTTGACTCAGTGACTCTTCTAGCATTTGGTAGTTCATGACCTTGGGCAGGTGACTTCTCTCTTTGTCCCTCCCCCATCCCTGTCCCCTTCAGTCACACTCCTGCCTGTGCCTTAGGACCTCTGTGCCATCCTTCTTGACTCAGTGACCCCATCACAGTTGACTCTTCTAGCATTTGGTAGTTCATGACCTTGGGCAGGTGACTTCTCTCTGTGCCTCAGTTTCCTCATCTGGAAAACAGATCTGAGTGATGCCACCTCACAGTGCAGCTGTGAGCAACTGGCCTGTCTCTGCTGTTTTGAACATGAGGGGCGTGTTACTGCAGCGTATGTGCCCACCTGCTTCCCGCCCCACGGCTGTGACTGTCTTGTCAGAACATGGCCTAGTTCTGAATCCTCTTGGGTCCTAAGGAAAAAAGAAACCTTAAGAAATTATGAGTGACCTGGCCTCATTACTGTGAGATGCCTGCATTCCAGGGTGCAGGCCCAAGTGAGCAGCCCACCTGGCTTCAGACCTCAGATGAGGAGCTCAGGGACACCTCAGTGTCCTGCCCACCAGCCCTGCTCACTCACTCAAGAGTCCCACTCTGAAAGTTCCCCAAGGCCCCCAAGTTGGATCCAGGGCCTGCAGGCTGGACAGACAGGTGCCTGTTAACTGCCTTTCCAAACTGCAAGCTCTGCACTTAGTCATCTCCACCTTGCGTTCCACCACAGCTCTACGTCTTCTCCTCCGTCAGCAGAATGGGCCTAGAAGCCACCGTAGGTGAGTACGTGAGGCCTTGCTGATGGCTTTCTCTCTCACGTGTGTGTCTGGCTACAGAGCCTGTGACATGAAAGATAAAAGCCCTCTAGAGGCATTCGGCTGGGGTGACTGGGGCACATGGTGGACATCAAACAGACCCCATTCTTCCTCTTTGGGAAAGGCCAGGCTCCTGCTCGTGGGCACAGGCCTGAATGCCTACAGGTGTAACGGTGAATGTAGGACAGTACCGCCACTCGGCCGGCAGTGGGTGCCAAGGGGAAGGAGCCACTCAAAGGAGCCTGGTGGCGGCAAGACGGGCGGGCTCTGTCCACTGCATTGGCCACAGGCAGGAGTTGTGTAAGAGTGGAGAGCTGTGTATTTCCTGTCGCCACACTATCAAACTGCACCCTACATGTCCCTGCCATGGACTGCTGGGCCAGGCAGGCTCTCCTGGAGTCACTGCTCTGTTCTGAGCCCCTCTGTTCTCCACAGCCATGCTCCTCCTCAGTGGGGCCCTGGTCAGTGGGCCCTACGCGCTGATCACCACCGCCGTCTCTGCAGACCTGGTGAGTGGCCACCACGCACTGCCTCCCCCATTCAAGGCCAACGCAGCTTGTGTATGGGTAATGTGTTTGCGCTCTCTTGAGAATCTTCCTGCACCTGTCCTTTGCCACCCTGCCTCAGGATCACAGGCAGGTTGGCCCAAGAGACCCAACTAACTGTTCAGAGCCACAAAAGGCCACTCAGGCTTCTCACTGCCAGGTGAACTGCAGATCCTGTCCCACAGTGATCCCAGACAGTGCCCAGTGAGTAGGCCTTTGACCATCCTCTCCCCCAAGGCAACAGGCTAGCCTGCCCTGAGTCTTGTTGTCAGACATGTTTCTGAAGCTGACCTTAGGAAGCTTATCCTTCAGTGTGTGTGAGCGTACAGACCGAGGGCTACATACCCATGGAACATTCTAGAAGGCCCCACACAGGCCTGAACAATGGCCAGTGTGCAAGGGGCAGAGGCAGAGGCAAGACCTCAGCTGCTTTTTTCAGACTGGATAAAAATAAGTGGGTTGGCAGTGACTCTGACCCGTTGTAAGTGGGTTGTTGTTGTTTTTGTTTTCTGGTCTTTTTGAGACAGGATCTCCCTGTAGCCCCAGCTGTCCTGGAACTCACTGTGTGGACCAGGCTGGCCTCGAACTCACAGAGATCCGCCTGCCTCTTCCTCCCGAGTGCTGGGACTAAAGGCGTGCGTCACCATGCCCGGTGTAAGTTATTTTTTATTACAACTCTTACCCATTGTTTGATTTTTTTCCCTTTATTCTCGGTTTGTGCTTTTCGCCCCTGATGCTGTGTGTGTAGCTTTTTAAGAACCAAAGGTCCTGCTGCTGGCCACATGGAACTCACTTGACCCCTGAGTGGGTCCTGGGCTCTCCTCCCCTCCCCGGGCCCCTGGCACTGTCACCTGTCAGGTCCATTTCAGACATGGCAGGGTATCTGGCACATGTCACAGAACAATCCTGGTGTCCAGGACTCACATTGCATAGTGTAAGGACAAGTGTGCAGTCCCCTTATCCTCCACAGTAGCTACTGTGGTCCCTTCATGGTAAGACTGTGCCAAGTAAACGTGTATTTGAAAAGAACCCCAAATAACTAAATGTGCTTGGACAGGTATTTCTAAGGATCTCTGTCTCTTAGAAACCCTTGACCTTCTGATAATCTCCCCAAAATACAGTCAGGATGGATCAGGGTGTGAACTTTCTTTTCTTTTTATATTTTACTTATTATTTTTATTTTATGTGTATGAGTGTATTGCCTGCATGTATGTGAGTGCACCCGTGTCACACAATGCCCACACAGGTCAGAAGAGGGCGCTGGATCTCCTGGAACTGGAGTTACAGACAGTTGTTAACCACCATGTGGGTGCTGGGAACTGAACCTGGATCCTCTGCAAGAGCAGTCTCTAATCTGACCCAGAGGTCGGCAGACTCAGGCTAAGATGTCTCACTGCTGTCCTTCAAGGAAGAATAGGATCTTATTTCAATTTAAGTTACCACAAAAGCTAATCAGTCCAAAAGTATACACGATTCTGTCACCCTCCTCCCTGAGGTTCCTGAAGGGATTCAGTAGCACATACTGCAGTGACAGAAGGTGACAGTATAAGTCACTCATCCCCGGTGTTAGTCAGCATTACTGTAACAAAATACCAGAGATGATCAACTTAATTAGTAGAAAGATTTGCTTGGTTCACAGTTTGGAGGTTTTGGTCTGTGGTCAGTTGACATTGCTTCTGGCCTGTGGTGAAGCAGAGGGTCTTGGTGGTACACATGGTGAAACCTCGCTGCTCACCTCACTGCAGACAGGGAACTGAGAGAGAATACCTGTGCGCCAGTACCTTTTTCACGGACGCATTCCCAGTGACCTGACTTCCTCCCAGTAAATCCCATTTCCTGAACATTTCACCACCTCCAGCACCACAGGCTGGGACCCAGCCTTCAACACGTGGGCCTTGAGGGACAGCCTAGATCTCCAGTGGTCCTCCTCAGGGAGCCCGCAGCAGGGAGTTGGCATAACACCGAACCCAGAGATCCAAGCTTTGGGTCCTGCCCACACCAAGCACTTAGCATGAGCCTGTGAACGTCAGAACACCCTCCGCTGTATGGTGTCCTGTAGGTTAAAAGCACTAGGTTGTGTCCTCAGTGAGGTGAGCTGACTGGTTCAAGGCAGCTAGAGTCACAGGCAAGGGCCCATAGGTGTCCCATTCCAGGGTTTGAGTTCACAGGGACAGTCCCCACAGGGTCAGGGGTGTATCAGGACGGGGCTGGCCAGCTCCCAGTCACATCCGCTGCTCCGTCTGTTGCTGCACCTTTCAGGGCTTCCTCTGATGAGTCTGGTTTGTTTGTGAACCACCAGGAAGGCCACCGTGGTCCACAACGCCAGGCTTTGGCTTAGCTGACCACTAAGGTCAGGCCGGCCCAGCCGTCAGTGGTTCATTCATTTCTTTACTGAATCCAGAGGTGATGCTGGTGTGTGGGATGGCATTTGTAGTCACCCCTCCGATGCTGCCCTTCAGGGCCCTCCTTATCCCCTAGGGCGTGTCTGGGAGGGCATAGGCTGGGCTTCGTGCCTGTGATGGGTCTCTGGAGCAGTACTTGCTGTTCCTGTGAGGAACGATCTGCCCAGCACAAGAGAAGCTGCCCTGGGCCTGGAAGACATGCTCACAGGTGACAGGAGCCTCCTGTTCTCCTGTGACTTGGTTAGTCAGTCTGCCGCCCCCAGGACCTGGGACTAATATGGCGTCCCTGACACACTGGACACTACAGTGATGCAGAGGGTCAAAGAGGGAATTCTTGAAGTAAGAGAAAAACTTGTCTTGGTGAAACCTCGCTGCTCACCTCACTGCAGACAGGGAACTGAGAGAGAATACCTGTGCGCCAGTACCTTTTTCACGGACGCATTCCCAGTGACCTGACTTCCTCCCAGTAAATCCCATTTCCTGAACATTTCACCACCTCCAGCACCACAGGCTGGGACCCAGCCTTCAACACGTGGGCCTTGAGGGACAGCCTAGATCTCCAGTGGTCCTCCTCAGGGAGCCCGCAGCAGGGAGTTGGCATAACACCGAACCCAGAGATCCAAGCTTTGGGTCCTGCCCACACAGCTGCTCACCTCACTGCAGACAGGGAACTGAGAGAGAATACCTGTGTGCCAGTACCTTTTTCAGGGACGCATTCCCAGTGACCTGACTTCCTCCCAGTAAATCCCATTTCCTGAACATTTCACCACCTCCAGCACCAGAGGCTGGGACCCAGCCTTCAACACATGGGCCTTGAGGGACAGCCTAGATCTCCAGTGGTCCTCCTCAGGGAGCCCACAGCAGGGAGTTGGCATAACACCGAACCCAGAGATCCAAGCTTTGGGTCCTGCCCACACCAAGCACTTAGCATGAGCCTGTGAACGTCAGAACGCCCTCCGCTGAATGGTGTCCTGTAGGTTAAAAGCACTAGGTTGTGTCCTCAGTGAGGTGAGCTGACTGGTTCGAGGCAGCTAGAGTCACAGGCAAGGGCCCATAGGTGTCCCATTCCAGGGGTTGAGTTCACAGGGACAGTCCCCACAGGGTCAGGGGTGTATCAGGACGGGGCGAGGCTGGGACCCAGCCTTCAACACATGGGCCTTGAGGGACAGCCTAGATCTCCAGTGGTCCTCCTCAGGGAGCCCACAGCAGGGAGTTGGCATAACACCGAACCCAGAGATCCAAGCTTTGGGTCCTGCCCACACCAAGCACTTAGCATGAGCCTGTGAACGGTCAGAACACCCTCCGCTGTGTGGTGTCCTGTAGGTTAAAAGCACTAGGTTGTGTCCTCAGTGAGGTGAGCTGACTGGTTCAAGGCAGCTAGAGTCACAGGCAAGGGCCCATAGGTGTCCCATTCCAGGGTTTGAGTTCACAGGGACAGTCCCCACAGGGTCAGGGGTGTATCAGGACGGGGCTGGCCAGCTCCCAGTCACATCCGCTGCTCCGTCTGTTGCTGCACCTTTCAGGGCTTCCTCTGATGAGTCTGGTTTGTTTGTGAACCACCAGGAAGGCCACCGTGGTCCACAACGCCAGGCTTTGGCTTAGCTGACCACTAAGGTCAGGCCGGCCCAGCCGTCAGTGGTTCATTCATTTCTTTACTGAATCCAGAGGTGATGCTGGTGTGTGGGATGGCATTTGTAGTCACCCCTCCGATGCTGCCCTTCAGGGCCCTCCTTATCCCCTAGGGCGTGTCTGGGAGGGCATAGGCTGGGCTTCGTGCCTGTGATGGGTCTCTGGAGCAGTACTTGCTGTTCCTGTGAGGAACGATCTGCCCAGCACAAGAGAAGCTGCCCTGGGCCTGGAAGACATGCTCACAGGTGACAGGAGCCTCCTGTTCTCCTGTGACTTGGTTAGTCAGTCTGCCGCCCCCAGGACCTGGGCGTCGTTCACATGATTCAGTAGTTACCCCGACCAGTTAGAGCAGATCTTAACCTAGAAGGCAAGCACTTTACCACCGAGCTGCATCCCTCAGTAATATATTTCTTAATATATTCTGTTTTATGGGTATGCGTGTATTGCCTGCATGTATTCAAGTGCACCCTTGTGCAATGCCGTCGAAGGTCAGAAGAGGACGTCGGACTTCCCTGGAACTGGAATTTCGGATGGTTGTTAGCTGCCATGTGGGTGCTGGGACTCGAACCCTGGTCCTCTGAGAGAGTAGCCAGTGCTCTTAACCGCCGAGCCATCTCTTCAGCCCCAATAATATTTTTTTCCATTTAAATTTGCTTGTTATTGTTCATAACTTCTTTCACCTAGTGAGCAAAACCCAACATGTCAGGGTGGGAATCCTACTACAAGGAAGAGGGGGAGGAAGAGGAGGAGGAAGAGGAGGAGGAGGAGGAAGAGAGCACCCTGCTGAGCACCTTCCTCCTCACAGGAGGACAGGGAGCAGGCCAGGCATCCCTGACCTCCTGGTCCATCAGCAGCAGATGCTGTTCCTCAGAACCTACACCCACCTGGGTTTCTGCAGCACTGACATGGAGATCTGATGGGACGGACTCCAGGGCCCCAGGCTCTGTGTTCCTCTGCCTGTTCAAGTGCATGGGGACTGGGTAACTGGTCACCATGGAAACGGCATGCACACTGGTCCTCCACCAAGTTTCATTTGTGTTTTTCTCATGTGTGCAGCTCACGAGACAAAAGCAGAGGCAGGCCCGAGGGGCGCCCCGGCACTTCAGCAACCTTGGCACACAGCCTTTGCCCCGCGTGCTTGTCAGGGCCTTACATCCGTTAGCCGGTGCAGGTTTAGGCAGAGGCAAAGCTTGGCTGAAGGCAAACCTCAGACTTCACAGTTAGTGCCGTGCGGCGCACGTGATACAAGTTCCTGTGTTCGGTGTATTCACAAATGCTCGGCATGTCATCCCAGTGGGACCCACAGCTGCCCTTCCCACATGCGTGTGCAGAGCAGTTCAATGTAGCCCTGTGTGTTTTCAAGGTTTTTATTTTTATCGAAGTAATGCATAATGTAACCAAGGGGCTGGATAGTCTTACAAGCCTCTGTGTCGCAGCAGCCCCCAGCATGACCACACCAGGCCCTCCGCCCAGCAATGGTCCCTGTGGCTGCTTCCTCGCTGCGTATGTTTCCTGGACTCAACAGTTTGGGAACATCTCCTGTTCTCTACCCAAGAAAGATGGGCATGGCTCTTCCCACGCTTCCTGCCCCTCTCCATACACTCGGCCTCCTTCCAGCCAGGAAGCCGTGTCCTCAGTCATGCGTCCCTAACTGCCCCCTTTTACCCTGTGTTTGTTTCCCGCCCGGACTCTGCCACCTTCAAGCTCCTTTCTTACCATCCTCCATTCCCACTGCCCGGTGACACTTGATACTACGCCATGTGACTCCTGTTCCGGACCCTGCCTCAGTTCCCTCCCACCCACCCCTTTGTCCACCCACTCAGGTTTCCTGGACCTGGAGAGGGTTGTTAGCCTCCATGCGGGTGCTGAACCCAGGTCCTCTATAAGAGCAGCTAGTGCTCTCAACCACTGAGCCATCTCTCCAGCCCCTGGGTTCGGATTTCTTCACATAAGTTCAGAAATAATGATGTGTCGGGAAAAGATGTCAGACATGCTTTTGGAATGGGTCCCAGAAGATGGTTATACCAATGACCTCAGCCCCTAGTGCAGAGCTTGCTACCCCACCGTCCTTGAGGCAGGACTGAGATGGGTGGTTTTTCTTTCCCTGTGAGTGAAGCGGGTTGTAAATGAGCAGTTCCCAGAGCAGTCCTTCACCAGCTCTGGTGTCCCTTTCAGGAGCTGCCCTGGGCCCGCTGCTGGCAGGGCTCATCTCTCCCTCTGGATGGAGCAACGTGTTCTACATGCTGATGTTTGCAGATGCCTGTGCCTTACTGGTGAGTCACCATGCGTCTTCAGTGAGCATCCCTGTGGATGTTGGCAGGCCCTGGTAGAACTCTTGCTGTGGCCTCCTGCAGTCCGCAGCAAAGTTTGAGTCATCTGCCTAAGTACACGTGGGCTGAGACTCTGTCCTCGCTCCATTAAATAAAACATCAGAAGCAGGTGAGTCTGTTGCTTTGTAGAATGTTTGAAAGCCAAGGGCGTGCAGATCCGTGCCTTCAGATCCTGCTCAGCGTGTATGATGAGGCAGGGTCCCGAGCCTCTCTGCTGCAGCATCCAAATTGTACAAAGGCATGATGGTGGCATGTGATGACAGGCCTGTTGGGGAAGCAATGTAGATCATACACAGAGCCTGCCTAGCATGCAGTGCTGTTAGTCTGTCACCAACACCTGACACTATCAGCTTAAGAAAGGTTTAGTTTGGAGACTGGAGAGAGATCTCCAAGGTTAAAAGCAACCTGGGTTCAGTTCCCAGCACCTACATGGCAGCTAACAACCATCTATAACTCCAGTTCCAAGGGATCTGACACCTTCTTCTGGCCGCTACAGGCATTGCATGTATGCAGTACAGGCATACATGCAATGTATGAAACAGGCAGGCAAAACACTCATACACATACGATAAAAACAAATCAGAGAAAAATTATAAAAAGTTTAGTTTGGCCCACAGCTTCAGACATTTCAGTCCAGGATTGCTTTGGTCCTGTGAATGACGTTTACATCACAAAGGGAGCCAGCATCAAAGCGGAATAGCTCACCTTGCCTCCCTCGTGGCCAGGAATCCAAAGAAAGACCAGGGAGGTGACTGGGGTCCCACTGTCCCCTCTGGGGCACACCCAGTGACCTACAGACCTCCCACTAGACCTCACCTGTTAAAGATTACACCATCTCCCAACAGCTACAAGTTGGGGACCAAACCTTTAACACTAGGCCTTTAAGGGGAGCTCAGAATCCAAGGTAAGGAATGGCAGGAGGGAGGCACAAATGGGGTAGCTGGTGAGAGTGTGTCCGTAGCAGCTATGGCTGGGCTGACACCGGCAGTTAAAAGCAGAGACTGTCAGGTTAACCCACAGACAAAAGCCCCCCACCCCCACCCCACCCTCACTCCCATTAGCTCTGAGAATTCATAAGCCTTACGTTTTGCAGAAGAATCCAGAAAGGCCAAAAGTGGCCATGACGATGCTTGAGAGAGCAGAGCTGCCTGTGTTGGCGGAGGAGACCTGCAACCCTGGTGCATTAGAAGGGAGTCAGCCTCTGTAGTGGAAGTGGCAGCCAGCCAGGGCGCCTGCCCTCCAGCAGCTCTTTTCTAACCGCCCAGGTGCGGTGGCTCACACCCGTACTCGCAGCACTCAGAAGGCTGAGCTTGAGGCCAGCCCTGGCTATATAATGAGTTCTAGCCCAGCACACCTTAATCTAAGCCCTTGAGAGGTAGAGGCAGGAGGATCAGAAGTTCATGGCTTTGGGGAAAGCTGGGATACAGCTTGGTTGTAGAGCATGATTTCTAAGCATGCATGAGGTGCTGGGAACCATCCCCAACAGCACACATACACATACACATACACACACACACACACACACACACACAAATACAGTTTACCTACATGAGTCCCTGTCTCGAATGAATGAATGAATGAATGAATGAATGACCTGAAACACCCTGCAGGTCAAGCTGGCCTTCTTTCTGGTGTTGTTGATCTTTCCCCCTCTAAAATAAGCCAGTTTTGCCGCCTTGTTCCTGGGGAGTTGGGGTCCTCAGGGACCTGAGCTCACCTCAGAGATGCCAGGGGACCACACTGCTGGCCCCTGGGCAGTGGGACTGGTCAGGCCCATGGCTGCTGGTGTCCTCTCCAGCTCACAGAACTCAGGCTCCCAGCATCTCGTGGGCAGCCGCTGGGAGTGGGCACTTCCCCTCCCCGTCGATCACTGTGGCCTGCCTGGGCTCAAAGCTTTGATCCTGTTGGGAGGCGCCCTGGGTCCCGGGGGCCATCCCCCACGGGCGGCACGCACGTGTGCTCCAAGCTCTTCCTCTTTTCTCTTGGGAGTCTGCTTTGTTCCTTCCCAGACCTCCCCTGCCAGCACTTGTGGCATTTGCACGTGGTGGGATTGGTGCGGTGGTGGGATACTGTGCTAGTGGCTGAGGCTAGAAGAGGTTCGGTTCCAGTTTGCTGCAAAAGTCTGGCTATTGCCACCAGCTCTAGTTTTTGGCTGCCTTGTTCCCACTATGGTCCAGTGACGGTCACCGCCTGTTCATGTCCGGTGACTGTCACTGCCCGTTCATGTCCAGTGACAATCACCGCCTGTTCATGTCCACTGACTGTCACCACCTGTTCATGTCCAGTGACTGTCACCGCCTGTTCATGTCCAGTGACTGTCACCGCCTGTTCATGTCCAGTGACGGTCACCGTCTGTTCATGTCCAGTGACGGTCACTGCCTGTTCATGTCCACTGACGGTCACCGCCTGTTCATGTCCAGTGACGGTCACCGCCTGTTCATGTCCAGTGACAGTCACCGTCTGTTCATGTCCAGTGACTGTCACCGTCTGTTCATGTCCAGTGACTGTCACCGTCTGTTCATGTCCAGTGACTGTCACCGTCTGTTCATGTCCAGTGACGGTCACCGCCTGTTCATGTCCAGTGACAATCACCGTCTGTTCATGTCCAGTGACAATCACCGTCTGTTCATGTCCAGTGACGGTCACCACCTGTTCATGGCCCACAGGCTACAAATGTGTGTTGTCTGTAGGAGATATTCCTGTTCCCCTTAACTTGGACACATGGGCCTCCGTCCTGAACCTGAGGCATCAAAGGGCTGCTGCCCATGGCCTGGTGTGTATGTAGCTAGTAGGGGATAGTAATGGTGCCTTGGTATTCTCCCTCAGCACCCACGCTGCCATGGCCACCCCGCATACCTCTCTGCATTGAGAGGTCCTGCTACCTTCAAAGCACAGGGCCACCAGAAATCAGGAATTCCCTCAGGAGCCCTTTCAAGAACCCAGGGCACCTCACAGCCCCAGGACCTGACTGTGAGCTGATGTCAGCCAGGGACAGGATCCACACTTGTCGGCATAGGAAGAGGCTGAGATATGGGTGGGACCCAGTCATTAGTCTCGATTGAACCAGCTTTGAGCCTTCCAGCACTCGAAGGATGTGAGGTTAACCAGAAAAAGCAGGGGCTCTTCTGGTGATCAGCACTGTGTGGAAGGCTATCTGGAATCCCCCCGGGGTTAGACCACTTAGGAGGAACACACAAGACACACTGGTTCCGAGACAGTACTTAAGCTTCTCAGGACCAGAATCCCACAACCTCATCTGGCTCCAGAGTCCCCATGCAGCCCCAGTACCCTGGCGTCACCGTGACTGGGCCAGAGTCCCCATGCAGCCCCAGTACCCTGGCGTCACCGTGACTGGGCCAGAGTCCCCATGCAGCCCCAGTACCCTGGCGTCACCGTGACTGGGCCAG